GCTCACCAATGTTAAGAATGTGCATTATCTGGTTTCTATAGACAGACAACCGTTCCCGGGATGCAATCTGAAAAGTGATTGCCAGAGTGTATATATCACTGCAGTAACACCCCCTGACGCTTGGTCAATAACGCCGTCATATTTATTGTTCAAGTCGGTGACACCCATTCTCACCTTTCTCGCTCCTTGATCACACTTGTCTCGCACTTTGCACTCGTCTGCCTTTCGCTTTCTCGCGGCTGGACAACGGTACTGTTTTGAAGATCCTTGCGTTAAGGCGCAAAAATATACCACTTGCTTTGCATGAGGGGGTGACAAAATCGCCAGGGGCGTAGCCAGGCATTTTTTCCGTTTAAGCCTGGTAGGATAAAGGATCGATAATAACTTATGCACTGTTCATGATCATAAGGAAAAGAAAGTCTGTACAGTTGAAATCAGTGGCGGATCCAGGCCTTAAGATAAGGGGTGAGACGGTCATCCAGACCCTGAGATAAGGGGGGTGCGGTTCTAAAAGAAAAAAAATTTTTTGGCCATTTGGGCCTCAGTTTGGTCTTAAAATGAATTGTCCATGGGTGGAGAATCGTGGAAAGATGGATGAGGAAAAGACAGTCAAGGAGAGTGTTCTGCGATGGGAGTTGAGGAAGCAATACCCAGGGTATAACATCCACCAGTGTAAAAAATATTGTCATTGATGTGCGAGGAGGTTGGTGGCCAAAGGATCTTGAGCTGACTATGCTCGTTCAACATATATAGCACGCCATAGTACTTTCAAGGCAACTGTTGTTTAACTGCTTATTATAGCTGAGCTTAGTATCGCAATAGTGACGAAAAATGTATTACTTTTTATTTCTTAGTTGTATTTTATGAGCTTCACTTTTATCTTTCTGTATCATTGATTTTTTTTTTTTAATTTACTTTTGTAACATTCCATAACACAGTTCGTTTTTTTAGCGTAGGCCAGATAGGCTTGCGTTTTACACAGCATAATAATAATAACAATAATAATAATGATAATAATAATAATATGAGGATGATGATAATAATATTTGTTATATGCCACAAGTTCAACATATGTTTTGAAATGTGCGTTTTGAACACATTGAAATGAACTAAGGCCTGGTTCAGACGCCGAACTTTTCATGAGCCGAACCTAATTCGAATTAAGGCCGACCCAAATTATTTAGTCCGGCTAAATTGATTCAGACGCCGATCTTAATTCCAGCCGAACTAAATTCAGAAGGCGAAAAATGCGCATTTTGGTCAAACTGCTTACAAAATACGTTATAAGAATTTATGCATTAGGTTCGGTACATGAAAAGTTCGGCGTCTGAATCAAAGGCGTTCCAAAGTCGATCCAAAGGCGAAATTCCCGGCCGGGCTAGGCGAAAAGAACGGGTGAGCCGTTCCAAATTGAAACAGCCGTTCCTAATTGATTCAGACGCCGAACTTTTCATGTACTTAATTCAATGTATTAGGTTCGGCTCATGAAAAGTACGGCGTCTGAACCGGGCCTAACAGCACACTACACTTGGGAAGAATTAATAACAGCAGGTTATGGGCTCCTGATAACAATAAGGCCCGCTTCAAACGTCGTGCCACTGCCGTGCCAAACTAAATTGATCGAATTAAATTCGACTTTAGCACGGCATTATATCATAGCGCGACGTTTGAAACCAAGTCAGTGCTACCGCCGTGTAGCACGGAAAGCCTTACCGCGCTACACGGCAGTACCTCGACTTGGTTTCAAACGTCGTGCTGCCGCCGTGCCGAACTCAATCCATAGATTATAAATACATAAGAATACATTTAAAAGTTTTCTAAACCGTTCCTTTATTTTTGTGTTTTGTTTTTGGCAACAGCTGTTCTATTCGACTGAATTCAGTCGACGTGTGAAACCAAGTAGTGCTAGTGTCGTGCTGCAGTCGAGCTTCAGTCGACCCAGCTTAACACGACAGTAGAACAACGTTTGAAACAGGCCTAATACTAATAAAATAGTGTCTGGATATGGTGTTTCCCTTGTGCTTGCTTCAAATGATTCAAAAAGATAACTTGATTTTCCTGATATCAACTTTTTTGCGAAAGTTCGAAGTGAATGGTAACTTGCGAAATTTATCGGTGACCCTGTACAAGTGTAATTTTTATAGAACAGCACAAAAGTCCCGTAAATGACCTAATAAACGCACAAGGGGGTATTAGTTGCTCTCTCGGTTGGGGGTAGGGGCATTCAACAAAGTTTTATATGGAAAGGCTCTGCCCTGAAGTCCAGCAACCCCTTAACTTTTGACCCTTAATACCATTTTTGACAAATAAGGTATCACTTTCACATACCTGTTTTTTGTAGAACATTGCTTCTCTTTAAAGTGCTGTGAATGCACCGTCTTTTTAATACGATTAAATCACTAAACCAAGACATTTCTTGTCTTTTTGACAGCCATAAGATCTGTTAGCCCCTTTTAGGTCCTTCTACCGATTGAAATGACAGATTTCCCTACCATTTCATTTAATTCAACAAGTGAAATTCCATGTTTTCCATGTACCTGAAGCCTGAAAAAGGTAGAGCCTTCCCGTATACCGTATTTATTCGTTTAAACGCCCTGGGCGGTTATTAAATTTTTGGGACCTTGAGAGGAGGCAGTTATTCGAGGCTGGGCGCTTATTAAATTTTCACCATTTTCAGCAAGGGTCAGGTAGTATATTTATTTTGCAACAAAATAATAAAAGGTAATAACAAAACGCGAGGATTTAACAGCAAGGTTTCTGTGAAATAATCTGAAGAAAACTCTTCGGCGGAGTCTCTTATTAGTACTTATTCAATTTCAGTCTCGTTTTCACTCAAGTCAATAAGTAAATTCTCTGGTGCTGGATCCTGGATGTCCGACATCGTAACGACAGCAACCAAATGGGTTAGGGCAAATGGGTAAGTCGCCTGAGAAACAGATACAACTTCTTTGAGATTTTAGTGGGAGTATGGGAGTAAGAGGGGAACCAGGGGGGTGGGATTAGGTGCTTATTCAAGGCTGGGCGCGTATTAACTTTTTCTGCCTTTAGGACGAGCGCTTATTCGAGGTGGGCGCTAATTCGAGGTTGGGCGCCTATTCCAATAAATACGGTATTTATAGGTAGTACCGTGCCCCGGTCATAACGTTAGTACATGGTAGTTGCAATTGCATATTTTGCCTTCAATCGTGAGGATCTTTGCATTGCGTGTCATGTGGCTTGGAACTGTGCTGATTCACACTTTACTGATTTACTGTCGGTCAGTCTTTCTGCAAAGAACATTTTCTTCTCTGAGCCAGATTTGCCACAAGCTCTCTCTTTGTAGAGGGTATCGAATAGGGTTCTTCAATCCCGTAATCCCGACCCAACATTTCGTGAAATCCCGTAATGCCGAGGGTTATTTTTGGCATCCCACATCCCAAGCATACTTTCAATCTCGAGACTCGCCTCGATTTTACTTTCAAATCCCAAATCCCGAGCTTCAAATAAGCCCCAATAAGGACGAAACAGCTGTCCATGGCTGCCACTGCCAGGGTGATAGGGCTGTGCGCATGCGTGAGGTACTGGCCAGGTCGTGGGTTTTTGTATGTGGTGTGCCCCTTGCTTTAAGTTTGTCTTCTTCAAATGAGGGAAATCCGGGGTCCCGGAAAACCTATTTGGGACCCTTTTTGTAGTAGTCACAAAATTAGGGCAGTAATCATTTCCAAATTGTGCAGCTGGTGACAGGGTTTTACGACTCAGTGCAAGGTAATGTTGTGTGGAAACAGGGATGGAGGGGGGTATTGTCCTTAATAGTTATCAGCGTCTTCAACTGGAGGAAAGAGGCTATTCATATTTTAACCTTTATACAGGCGATTTCAAGTTAACTGTTAGTCGTATTGTACTCATTTTAGAGCCCCTCTCGATAATTACTGCACAGAAAAAACTTGACAGAAAACTTGACAAGATTTCAGTAACATCATATGTCGACCCCAGTCCCTAATACTGCTGCACCCCGCCCGGGCTGCTGCACGGGCTCCTTCACAAGCTCCAAGTCTAAGCCAAAAATATTGTGTAGTGGAATGGCATTTAGGGAGGTGGAGTTATCCTGTCTTATGCGAGTTGTTACACTGTATGGTCTTTTACAAAAAGGTGTATATTTGTATTTGGCTCCTACTTTTATTTCTCAGTTTTGCTGTAAGACAAGGTTTTTTTAATATCACGCCATCAAAAAATGAATAAAAATGAAAACCAGACAATACAGGAAGTCCAGAATCTGGGAAATGAAAGAAGATAAATATACAAAAGGCCTCGAAAAGAATCAGGTCAGTGCGATCATTCATTTCCGAGATATTCGGAAAAACCTTTTACCCAATTTTATAAGGTTTGTATGGAGACGCCATGTTGGTGTCCCTTTGAGGGGTACAAAATATGGCCGCCGGAAACCAACAGAAACATCTGTTTTTGAGTTTTCCTACTTATGCGTGAATTCGTCGCTTGAGGAACTCAAAAAAAAGACAAGGAATGTTTAGATGGCAGAATCTCAAAAATTTAGTAACGTCTTTAACCCATCACATAAGACCTTTCCGGCCACCAGCCAAATTCCTGGCAATTCAAGCGTCTTCTAACGCAAAACGATGAACCCCATACCGAAAATTTGTGTAAATAAAGGTTTTTAGTTGCTATAATACCTCATGAAAAGTAGAAACTCAGAAGAATCGATAGTTTCTTAGTTTGAATTTTGGTGACGTCATGTGAAAACCGCTAATTCTTCCTTCAGTTTGTCATGCAACGGAATTTTTGTGCGCGCTGAACTTCAAGAGCTACATCACGCAACTATTAGCTTTACAGTCCATTCCAAGGTTTCAGTTTTTCCACCTGTGCCAGAGGTCTTGTCCGTCGACCAATCGGTGCTAACGACTAATGGTTTCTATAGTTACCAGGCGCTAGGCCCCGGTCTGTGACGCGGACCCCACAAGGCATGACGAACTCAAGTGACACATCTTTGACAGGGCCAGCACAGCATGTACTCCAAAGGCAAGGCGAATACAGTGCCCTCCGATGCTCAGGCACGCGAAAAGTAAGCTTCACTTTATTTTTCCTGCAGAATGGATGTCAGAAATGGAATCAGCGTGTTCAAAAATGGGGGATAGTGTGTATAATGTGGCACCATTGTTGGCGAATTTTCGACAGTTTCATCGCCGGGTCGAGCGCGGCTTTTGTGCTCACTGTCCACCATGTCTGTACATTGATAGAGTGTAACAGGTTTTTTTACGACTGTTTTTCGTTCTTCGCAGGCTGGCCTTGTACGTCTATGAATACCTTTTACACGTGGGGGCACAAAAAAGTGCACAGACTTTTCTTAACGAGGTAAAATCTTTCGAAACTTTGTTCGCTTTCCCAGTGGTGAGGATGCAAGTTGACTTTATTGTGGACGCGCAACATGCAACGCGTCGTCGCGAACAACTTACGCTGATGGCTACTGAAGGCTAGTTTCGTTCTTTTACAGATAAGATGGGAAAAAAACATAACGCTTGGAGAACCTCCTGGCTTTCTTCATTCATGGTGGTGGTAAGTTCGCCAATGACTGGACTAATTAGGCAGTTGTTGATTCGAATTTTAAACTAGGTTCTCATTACCTTTACAGTAGAGTTAGAGGTACATTGTAATGGTCGTTTACACGAAACACTGACGGCCAGTATTCCGCTGGCTTCTCAACTGTGGCTCTAGGTGCTTGCTAAACCTTTCTTTAAGATAAAATCCCGTTTGTTTTTTTTTAATTTCCCGCCCAAATTATAGCTGTTCGTTCATCTCATATCCTTTGGTGTATGTCTTTTTCCTTTCTTCATTTCAGTGTGTTTTGGGATTTGTATTGTGCTGCGCCGGAGAGAAGGGACAGTTGTGACCACTCTAGTGAAGCCAAAGCTTTTCATGACTATGTAAGATAAACTAACAACTAACTCTGAAAACTCTCTTTGTAATTTCTACCGTCATCCTCGCGAGCAAGCGATTATTCGTTTGTCGATGCGTTCCCCATTTTTGTCACGCTACAGCAGTGTATTGTTACATTTACACGCGCGGAAATCAAGCGAGATCAACGACTTGAAACATACTTGTCGCTATAATTATTGTTGTGGGTGCAAAACCCAAAAAACAAAGAGTTTGATTTCCATGTGGGTGATCGATCGCGGCGTAAAAGTAAAAACACACACGCAGATAAAGTGAGTTGTTTTTTGCTGCGCCTGAGAATTTCCTGTCTTTGAGTGTGCACCGCTGTCATTTCCTTTCAGAGAAAATACCAAATCCGTCTCGTGAGAATTCTAACTGGGCTCCTCATCAGCCGTAACTGATATGTTAGGAAATATCCTTCCGTGTTGATTCGACTTATTTTAGGGGAAGGGTAAAAGTTTGCCGTGTACTAATAATTTTGCCAGCTCTAAAGCTTGAACCTAAAGATAGGAAATATTCAAATGCCGATCGAGTTGGGCTAGTTAATTTTTTATCGAGAACCAAAAGATATTGCTTCGTCGAAAGGATAGAGACAACTTTGATTTATTATAGAGCAAACTTTTCGAAAAATCTGCTTCCTATCCGGATATAGTATTCCTTTCTTTCCTCTCTTGTAGTTCTGCCTTTGACCGCTTATCACGAACAATAGTCTTTGTAGCTTACCACCAGTTGCATTTTATTCTGGGATTAGAACTTTCGCCTTCATAAGTTTATTTTCCGTTTGATTGAAGACGACGCCACTTGATCATGTCGTCGTTATTTCGAGTAATTGAGTGTTCTTATATCTAACCATTTTAAATCCTGCTTAACCGGGCCGGGTGAATGGCGGTCGGTGAGTGCTCATGAACGTAAAGGTTTGAATAAATTACTCGACGGTATAGTTACGACAGGATCGGATCAGGTGTAAGCCATAGATTTATATTGAATTCAATGATTTTCCAGTGAAGTGCTTCAGTTTACAGCTATGATTAATAAACCGCTTAGATTTTGTTATTTGGCTCGAGTAGTAAAGATTAACAGAACGAATGATCGAATTGAACGATTGATCAGCATTTCGAAACCACGAGACTGAGCCGTCGACGGATGTTTTGTGTTGACAAACTATGGGGGAGATGCGTATTGAGGTTTCCCAAAATTTGCATAATTTCAGCCAGAAATCGGATCTGTTTAATGTCGTGGCAGAGCTGATATGAAGGCTTAGCAACTCCTTGAAGTGAGTCTTTGGTGAAAAGTCACGGAGAAAACCAGTTTAATCGCGCGGAAAACGGTTCAGCCGCGCTTTATTTCTTGTTTCGCGCGTGATAATCTCCACATACCCGTCGACGCGCAGATAATGTGAATTTGCATGCCCATAAATAGCACAAGTTTTTATTCGACAGCTCTGAGTTGTACGGCACTTCATGGGTGGTCGATCACCTTCCGTGTTGTCTTTGTACATTTTGGTGGTAGAGTAACCACTAGAGTTTGTCTGTTACGTGTTGTGATTGAGGTTGCATGCAAATCTAGCTTAGGCAGGTGTTGAGTTTCCAACATCATTCAAGCATTTTAGGAAAATTCTGACAGGAATTGCTATTGTGTTAGAAACTATGGGATCTGTTAACCAGGGTTCTTTTTAAGAAGTCAATGAACAGTTTTGGGGAAATTGGTTTTTCTGCGATTATTTTTATCAACAACACTCACGTCACCTTTGACAAAGTTTTGTATTGGAGCAAATTTGTTTCAGAACTTGCTTGTTTATAGAAGGATGAAAAAGTAGGAATGCCATTGTTGGTGTTGGCAGGGAAAAGGAAGGCTTTTGTGCTGTAGATATGTTTTAGTGACTGGGAATCCTGTTTTCTGTTGATAAAAATCACTGCAATACAAAATAATCATTTGAGATGAAATGCTAATGAATCAAAACTTCTAATAAATTATAGCTGAAAAATTCAGTTATATTTTGTTTTGCACAAAGTTAAAAGAGCAGCTGCAGAACTATTTTAAAGCATTCATCACTAAAAGTGAATATGTAATTTTTCTTTTTTATTTGTAAAAAGAATGGGAGAGGCAAGCAAGGCTTAAATTACTAATTCTCCAGTTTGTCCAGTTTTCAATATTTTGGAAAGCAAAATTGCAAAATCTCCTTTTGAAAGTGTTTGTTTTCATATGTTTGTAAACCAATGGCTGATTCTCCCTGTATTGAGCTAATTTTTTAAAAAAAGAGGCTGATATGTCCTCTGCACATGGTCTTATCTTGTATGTATCTAATTGAATTTTTTTGGTCTGTTACAAGATGAGTTGGACTAAAAAGGTTGTAATAAGTAATGCCAAGGAGCCAATGAGATTGCCGAAGGTCAAATGAAGGGCACTTTTAGGAAGCCCTCTTGGCTATTCACAATTCAAGGCTTTGGTGTCTTTTTGCGGAACATTTAACGCCTACTTTCAAAGCATGTTTTTGTAATTTGGTTGTTACTTCTAAACCTCTCTTCCTGTTCAGGGTTAAAACAATTTAGTATTTTGCAATTAAAGGTGTGAATTTTAATAACAATTTTTATCAAGATATATTTAAAAAAGACTCATTTATCCAAAGTACAAACTTTGTGTATCCATTAATAATGACCCAGACGTTAGCAAGGGTGGTAAATATTTAAGATTACATGATCACATCTGGTTCTTGTTCGCCAAAGCTTTAAAGGTCAAAATTCTTTCTACTTTGTTTCGGCAACCTTACCAGGGGTAGGTAAGAGTAGGGTAATTTCTTTTCTGTATAGTTACTGATAAGACAAATGGGAGTCCAAGCAATTGTTGTAATTGAAGCCTTTTGAACTTATTTTGAATTCTAAATGCCATTGAAATCAGCTGGTGAAGTGTGGTATCTTTTACAGAGTGACTGCTGTAACTGGGGCCACGTAGAGAAAGCTGACCAATTGAATAACAGGAAAATAACAAATATACATTTCAAGGAAGTTGGTTGTCAAACATATACGTATTTATGTGAATACGTGGCCAACCTCGAATTAGCGCCCACCCTAAAGGCAGAAAAAGTTAATAAGCCTCTAATAAGCGCCCACTTCCTTTCACCTCACACCTCTCCTAAATTGAATACATACTAACAAGAGACTTCCCTGAAGATGGAGTTTTCTTCAGAGTATTTTACAGAAGCCTTGCTTTGTGACATTTTCGCATTTTGTTTTGTTGCAAAATAAACATACTACACTTGCTGAAAATGTTGAAAATTTAACAAGTGCCCAGCCTCGAATAAGCGCCCACCTCGAGTAAGCACCCACTCTCAAGGTCTAAAAATTTAATAAGCTCCCAGGGCGGTTAATCAAATAAATACGGTAATTACCACAAAAAAGAACATGGATTGAAATCAGCCAACCTACCGACCTGACCTTTTAAATCCACTGAAGAGAGCCTGTGTTCCTGAGAGGTCAATTAGAGTGATTAAAAGTGGCAAAAATGGAGAAGTTAGTTATATTTTTTACCTGAGATTGGTGGTTATTGTAAAGTGCAGCAATGTAAGTGATGACAAAATAACAGCTTGTGTCCAACAAATAAGTCTCCTGGGTGTTACATATACAATGAAGAATAGAAAAATATTGTCTAATGAAACGTTTGTCATTCAGAGCTTTGTGTAACTTGTTGTTATGGCCAACTTTCTTTGAAAGTATTGTTATTTTCCTGTAATCCAGATGGTCAACTTTGTGTAGGTGGTCAGATTACAGTTGTAGTTGCACTGTAAATCCCACAATTTAATGCTCAAAGTTGTCTCTCTCAACTCAGGGTTCTAAATGAGTACATCTGGCTGGTGAAATACCACCATGACTTAAATGGGTGTCCTGTTATTGTCAGAGTAGTAAAACATAACTCTTAAGAGCTAAGTGTCTCTGAAACAGGATTAAAAACATACTGTGTTGGCTTCTTTGTTTGATAGTAAGCTTTAACCTTTACCCTTTTTTTTCTTGATGGGAAGTAAGATATCTTTCAACTGAAACCTTGTTTGACTACCTTAAATTGCTTCTAAATACTTAAGATAATTATATGTGCAGTAGTACTGGGGAAATTTGACCTTTTCAAAGTGTGAAACAGATCCATTCATACAATTTCTGATCAGTACTGTTATCGGTGATAATACCGTTATTGACACAACTTGATGAACCCTTCATCAGGTCATTCCCAATCTCCAGCAGGGAGCTGTTCCATCTCCTGGATTTCCTCAGATGAACGATGGTCCCCCGGGTGGTTCAAGTATGCCAGGAGGAATGCCTCCTTATTTTACGGTAGGTAATCTTGCACGAGGCCGTTTTCATGGTGACATTTATATTCTTCTACATCTGCCAGGATATAATATATCGTCTTTGGTTTCTTACTGAAATTTATCAACCCTACCAAGATTAAATGAAATCAGCCCTAATTTTTACAAGGTAATAACAAATCCCTGAAGTGTTCTGGAAGTTGTGATAAATGTTGGTTCATATATATGTAAATGGTATGGAGCACTACTCAGTGACCCAATAGTTTAATCAACTGTCCCAAAAAATAATGATGGGCTATAGGGCTGTAATTATTTGACAGACATACAGTGTATGCATGCTGCTGCAGGATGAAAAAGTCTACTCTGGCTTAATTTGTTGAGTTTATTCCCCTGGGTTACGTTTGGCCCCTTACAACAATCAGTGGGGCTCCTGGAAGAGAACTATGTGTAGCATCATGTTCCAGAAAGAGCCACTTGTCTGTTCATCCCTCACTCTCCTTACTTCCAATCACTTCACAGCTGTCCTGTCGATCAAAACAGAAACTTTTTAGAAGGCGTTTGTAGTACTTTTGCTTTTATGCAACAGTCCTAATTAATGACCAGGGTAATAAAGTATATATTACATGTTGAACCGGCCATGTGCTAATGACTTTTTACTTTATGTTGTAGTCATCACAACCGCAAGCCTCACCACATCAACCACAATCACACCAAACACCTCCCGGTTACATGCCCAATCAGGTAATATTGACATGTCCATTTACATCTTACATCTTACTGTCAAACTCAGAAAACCGTGAATGGCTGAAAAATTTCAGGAATGTTGATTGTGTAGTGACCAATCACAATGAAGTTCAGTACATGCAAGAAAACCACAAAACCACAAACTAACTACTGTTGCTGTTTACAGTTTAGGTTCCTCATGCCTTGTTGGCTTTCTCTTCGCAATGTAATAACATTCCATGAATATTTCTGGTGTTCACGGTTTTGTGAGTTTCACAGTAAGACTTTTAGTTCACCCTGATGTTGCATTCCATCAGTGACTTAATTTGTGATTTGGTGAGTTTCGTGAACTCAATCTGTCCATACTAGAAACCCATGGGACCAGCTCAGGGGCCAGCTACACTCTTTTAATAATGTATATGTTGTGGTTCAGTTTTATCCTTGGTTTAAAATTTATTTTCTGTTGTTTGAAACTAATTATCATGTTATTATCATACGTTGCCATACCCAAGAACAAAAGAAAATAATATTTGAAGGAAGGATAAAATTGAACCACAACATTTACATAGAGGATATTACACGGTGGCGCGAAGATATGAATTTTATTTTTGAGTGGATAAACAATATTTTACGAACGAGCGCAGCGAGTGAGATAAAATATTGTTTTTGCCACAAGAAAATAAAATTCATATCTTGAAGCCACGGTGTAATTTTCTTTTTATTACATAGACAAAAAGACATCGATAAAATAATAGATTTTTATTCGCCAAAAAGTAATTGTGAAGGCCCAAATTTACAGTACAGCAATATAATATAAGACATGTTTACAAAAATCTTGGGAAATAACACTGAGCTGAATAGGGCTCTACAAGGACAAAATATAAACAAAGCTTTGAAAAATGTGTATTTAAAATTCAAAGGATGCAAGACGTCTACAAATTTTCAGCTAAATTTTGGAGGGAAATTGCCAAAATTACGTCATCGATAAACTCACGTGTGAGATTATGGAAAATAAACCAAAAAAATTTCTGTATTATTATTTTGACTTTGTTGGTGTTTAAGTCTTACATACATTGTTCTCTTAGCCAGTATTTAATATTCTGCATTATTGATAACTGAAGTTATTTCTTGTCTTGACCATAGCCACCCCAAGGATATATGCCCAACCAGGTAGGAATTTGTGCCTTCCGAGACGGTTTTAAAGCATTTTGTTACTGTCAGTGTATTACTTGTGAATTGCAGTAAACAAGTCAACTACCTGAGCATGTTTGCAATCTTGCCAGACACGCATCGTTCTGATTTATTGTCGTTGGTTCAGAGATATTAATTAAGTTCTCCTCTTTAATTTTTAATCATTATTATCATTATTGATTGTACTTAAGCTGGTAGATTGTTTTGTTATTTTATCATCAATATCATCATTATCATTAATCATTGTTTATTGAAAGAAAATAGATTGTGTGTTAATCTGTGTTGGTCTTTACAGACACCTTATGGTATGTCAAGATATAACCCAGCGACAAACAGACCACCAAATGTCAGAATACCAGGCCAGGTACGTCGTGCAATCGAAACTCATTAATTCAGTTGTGTGTTTACCAGTGTTTTTTGCCTTCTTGGATTTCCACTAACATGTATAAAATGGTGCATTAAAGCCATGAGGATGTGTCCTTCGTGATGCAAAAAGATTGATACTGCCACCCAAATAGAGGCTTAAAAGTTACAATGTAATAGTCTAGCAGTTGTTTAACAGACAAGGAAGCACTCCAGCTCTTTACCTGAAACATGTTGAAGTGACTGGGAACAGTGAAGACACAAAATCAGCTTTGCCTTCCAATGGTCTTGCATAATAAATTTTGCTCACAGAATGGCATGTAACTTTTACAGGACAAATTTGAATTTCTGGGTAAAATTTTCTTACCTAGGTTGATTCTTCATTTCTTAATCTGTCACCTTAGGTAGAAGAAATCGGAAGTTGAGAATCAACCTAGGTTCAGGGCCTCTACTATAAGCCGGAACCAGTGATTTCCTGTGGTTAACTATATGGCTTTTCACCAGCTACTTTCATAGGAAACAAAACGGGAAGAAAACCTAAAGAAAATTAATTCTTGGCTGTTCAATGCCCTGCCTAATATTACATGTTTTTAGCAACTTAAAACCTTAACAGCAGTTCTGTAGGTTGTACCATCCACAGCACCAAAGCGCTGCTAGTTTGATTAATTAGACTTTGTTTATCAGCCTCCAGGGGGTGTGCCTGGTGCACAACCATTATTGCCAAGCACCATGGACCCAACGCGACAACCAGGAGGCTATCAAGGTAATTGAGCATTCACAGTAACAGCACGACCCAGGACAGGGGTCCTCTCATAACCTGGTGGCCATTTCTTCAATTAATCATATATTCTAATCAAAATCCAAAGCAAACAATCACAGGTTCCTAGCTAACAAACTAGTCAATTTTGTTTTGTTAACTGATAGTTTTACTATTTCATCTTCAAAACTACTGAAACCTTGGATCTTGGATGTAAACCACAACTGCTTTCCAGGCTCATTAGTTGTCAGGACGTTTGATGAAACAGGCCCCTGTTTATCAAAATCATGTGCTTTAGGATTGGGTATGGATTTTGAGGAGTTCAATGCTTAAAAGGGTATCCTTAAAATAGCAAGTATTGTTCCTTACTTTGTCAGGAAGTGCACTCTTTTGCCTGGCAGAAAAAAATGTGAGAAGGAGTGCATGTTGCCTATATGCGTTAGGTTTAGGTTTGCTATTAGAGACAACTGTTTCTTTAACTGCGCAGATCATAGTCTGTACAATGACTAGTAAACGCTCATTGTTACTATTGCACAACTGCATTCATGCACAAAAAGTGTAATTGTAAGTAATACAAAGATGGGTATTACATTGGCTCTGTGTTATAGTTGTCAGTTGCTTAGGGTTCTGTTGTGGAAAATATTCATATTTTTGTTGCATCTTTGCCCTGTTTGTTATTGATTAGTACTGCATGTGTATATTGAAACACTTTTTATTAAGTTAGAAAAGTAATTGACTGGTTATATAGAGGATATTACACGGTGGCACAAAGATATGAATTTGCCACGAGAAAATAACATTCATATCTTCAAGCGGCCGTGTAATGTTCTTTTTATTATGTAGACAAAAAGACATCGATAAAATAATAGAGGGAAATGACCGAAATTACGTCATCGATAAACTCACGTGTGAGATTATGGAAAATAAATCGCTCGGGTCCCGGATGTAGTTTTTATGAATTTTACGAGTCATATATTTTCCAGTAAAACACTCGTGTCTATATAATAAAAATATATAATTTTCATAACTCACAGGCCAACCCATGCAGATGAGTAGAATGAATCACCCCCGAGTTGCTGTTCCACCGGTAAGGAGACACCATTTCATCTCATTATTCATTCAAAATATTTCACCATTTCTGATTGCCTAGCAAATTCTTCATAAACAACTGGCATTACCGTATTTGGAAGATGGAGAAATATACCATCGAATCGCTTTTTGGTATATTGCTTGCATCTTCCAAATATGGTATCAATCAGGCGCAGCCGCCTAGCTGTTTCACATCCCTCTGAAGACGAAATAGAGGAATGCAAGAATAGAGCGTTTTCACTCATGTGGCTAGCATCTATGCTAATTTATTGGAACAAAAGAAAGTTTTTACATAAGAAAAGAGTTCAATTCCCTCAGGGTTGTCTTGGTACACCAACATGGTCGCCGTTTCATTGTTTTGGAACACCAATATGGCTGCCGTGACGTCATGTCAAAGGATCATGACCATGTATTTGCTTGAAAGGGTTTTGGTGAATCACTAATGCACTTGATGGTGTTATTTTAGTAGTATGTTAAATGTGTGTGTCTTTGTCCTATCTGTAGAGTTATGGTGGAATGCGACCTCCACCAAACAGTTCAGTAGCACCTGGAGTAAACATGCCAATGTAAGTCATGGGTTTTTTTCCTTCTATTTACTTTACTGTGTCTTAAACATGCATTTGCAATCTTTTCTTTTTGACTTTTATTGAAAATGATACGATTGTTAAGGAAGTGGAATTTTCCAGACGTTTGAAGTGTTCACAAAGTTAATAGAATTAAAAAGCAGCAGAAAATGACTCATACTGCTCAACTATAGCCCGGTAGATTGTTTAACCATCATTCTTACTTTGTGGAAGTATTATTATCCATATCACCATGTTTCTAGCCTGCGAGAACAAGCTCCCCGACGACTGAGCTGTCAGATTTCCACCAATCAGCATGAAGCAGAATCGATTGCGAATGTAAACTGACATTGAAAAACACAGGCCTAGGGTAATGATGGCATTACTATTGTCATCTCTGCCATTCTGCATTTCACATAGACGTTTTTGCTGTAGATTTGCAAATTCTGGAGACCTAGTTGCAAGCTGTCCTTCCTTTTCGTGCCCTGCTGCCAGAGTACCCCGGAGAGCTTGCTCACAGGCTACCATATTTCAAAACCTGAATATAATTTACCTGTAACATGTACACTAAAAAAAGTGTTGCACAGGTTTTTCGTTGTTCAGGTTTATACTAAGAAACACCAGTACAACTAGAAATAATCAAAGGTTAGTGAGTGAAGAGTATAATAGTCCAGTTTGGAGTTTGCTATGACCGCTGATTTAAATTTTTTATTTTTAACAGCCTTAGCCTCTATCTGAGGTAATATATTCACAAATTCCAACGAGAAAAAGACCTGTTTATTACTCTATCTATTGTGTATATTCAAATTTCAAACACTTGCTTGCCAGAATTTCTGAATATTTTACTTTACGTCGAGGCTAACCCTGTATGAATGTGTCGTCAACGTTCATATTCAGTGGTAATTTTTAATTGGAAACTTAACTATTATGGATGGAAGGCATCCATACACTAAGGTGGATCTTTTGAAAAATAATAGAAAACAACCAAGCAAACCGCATTAAATCCCAATCGACAAAGTAATCCAAGGTTCAAACAATGACTGGAAATTAAAATTTGCATGCCCATGTTATGCTAGGTTTACATAATAACTAATTTAAATCTTTAGTGTTAAAATTTAATATTTTTGGGTGTGTGTTTCAAAGTTTTTACTTACTAACACAAGTTAACTGCTAGCTGCTTTTTTCTATAGGCCAGGTAGTAGACCATGGAATCCCACAACATCGGTAAGTAAAATTCTGTACTGTCATACAGTATGCAGCCAACTCGCTTGTACTAAGTTTTTTAAAGTTTATTTTGGCTTTTTAGAAGACACTAGTGAGCTGTTAGAAGACACGCTTTTCTAGTGTCTCCTTATTTGCCATTTTGGCCCTCTTTATTTCCTTATAAGGCCTTGAAAATGTCAACTCCAAAAAAGAGAACAGGTATAATTGCATATTTACCTTTAGCCTGATACTTTTTTGAGGAAGAAAAAGAAAAGACTGTGGGGGGTTTATGTCAAAATCTCCCTGGTGGTGCACAATCGTTTGTATTTTATTCACAAATTATGAAGGAGTAGATTAATGTGACTTTTTAATTGGTCAGTAAGGTCAAAATGATAGCCGTGCTACCAAACATTTTGAACTTGGTGCACTGTCAAGTCCACAAAAACATACGTGTAACACAGAGGAGTCTGATGGGCTTCACAACCATTACACTCTGTTACCTATCGCAAAACACAACACTTTTCTTATAATATGGGTAAGATAAAATATTTACATGACTTGCTACTATTCATGTCGTTAAAAATTAAATAATAATTATCTTTGACTTGTGATAGGTGGCAGGCCCCCCTGGAACACCGATAATGCCTAGTCCTCAAGGTAAGCCAGTATGGATCAATGAAATTACTTTTTGATCTTCTTGTCATGTCAAATGAATTGGAAAGGCTTGAATTGCAGTTAACCATCATTTCAAAGAATTACCACTCATAGTGGATGTCAATCTAATGTTTATGGGGTGCAATTAGTTTCAAGTTTATTACAATAACATTTCAAGTCCCATCCCTAGAGTGTCCAACATCCATTTTCTTCTAATGCGTTATGATCATGAATACTTAATCAAAAGAAAAATTTTATGCAGGGTGCAAAGAAAGTCGGTTTTACCGCTGGGTAAGCTGTAGCTAGCATGTACTAGCACAAAAATTCATTTCAACTAGCCCCAAAAACGTTTTGATAAGCACGATTGATTACACAGTATTTTGAGTTCTTATGTAATTTGAATTCCTCAAAAAACTTTACTTTCCCATCGGGCAAGTTAAGAACAGAATTCGCTGGCCCAATAGCAAAATCCACTAGTCCTGGGCTATCGTACCTTACTTTCCAGAGGGGAAAGGTTTGACCTTTTATTCTTAAAGGAAGTTACGGAGATTTAAGTTTCAAGTTTATTTACAAGGGCATTAAAACAAATTAACTAATCTGTAGGTGTTTAGTGAGACTAAGTAAATAGGGTAGTATTACTTACATGTGTACAATATAAATGTCTGTACATGTCTGTTTATTATGATTTGGTCAGTGGTTCTTGTGTCTTGTTTAGATCCAGCGAGTACTGGAAGTGAATCCATGTATGCCATGATGAAAAGTGTCCCTGGAGGAAACATGTCAGCTGTAAGAAGCATATTTCAAGATTAGTAAAGCTAAGCCTGGTGTCCATTATGATTGTTCAAATCATTACACATTTTTAGCATTGGTAGTGATTTTAGCAATTTCATGTATTGATGCTAAAGTGCCCATGATGCCAGCTTTTAAGTTCTTTATTAAAATGATTATTCTCCGGTGAATTCCTTTCTTTTTCTACTTTTGTTGACACTGAAACACAGTCTATATTATGACTGGGGACAGTTATTTATTTATGAGCAAGTAGTTAGTTAGTCACGCAAATTGAGTAGCCTGCATCGCAGATGTAATTTAGCCTTGGTTAGTAATTGTCTGCAAAGCAGTGCCAATATCCTTGTTCTGGGATAGCAACAGACTAACCAAATTACCAGAAGTGTGTTTCGTATTTCCTTTCATCCTGATTGGCAAGTCAACAATGGATTTTTTAACAGGCCAATCATAGCATGTACACAAATCCTGGTACACAGGGAGGGGCCGTGAACAATAATTTTGGGGCTGTTTCACAGACAGACTTAACCAGAGTTTAGTTTCTGTCTGTGGCGCAGGCTATTTCTGAGGAGTTGTAATAAATTTGTTTTTACCTGTCAGTAAATTAAGTTATCAGCTCTATATTCTGTTGCCCATCGAAAATGCAGTGATTTTACAAATGGTGGATGTTGTTTTTTGTTTGTTTCAGTACATGGGAGGTGGTCCAGAACCCCCACTTCCACTTGGAGCTCAGGAACCAACTCTTGTTATGAACGGTAAGGCTTCAAATATACACTACATATAACCTGACTTATATAGATAATATAGCGTAGTGTGTGTCTATGAACTGTTGTGCAAAACCACACCTAATTCAACCATATGAAACCTACTGTAAGTGCATACTTAACAGTATGGGAATATCGGCAAGGATATCACCTATCTGATTCAAGAAAGGCTTCCATAGGAAAGTGTTATAGTGTGCGTGATACTGGCAAAACTTAGGCGGAGATATTCAGTGCTATCACATTTTCTAGATTCAGCTCGGTGTAATGGAGACTTGGATGCTTTACGAGAAGCAACTTCCGAAAGAGTCATTTACATGTAGTCATGTAAATGCCAGTTTAAGCTTTTTTACTTGAAGAATATTCACTAAGACTATTTTAATTTTTAGTTTAGGCTAGATATAAGATAATGCAATGCTTTATTTTGTCTCGTCCACCCTAGCTATTCTGATTGGGGGAAATGTTTTTAGATGAAATGCATCTTTCCAATCCGGTAATAATGTCCACCATGTGTTAGTTGTGGCTTGGGGCTGGAGATTTGTCTGGTTATGATTAAATTGTAAACTCCATGTCTACTTTAGCTGAAACAGTATGTTGTGAATGCAAATCCTTACTTTTCATATCTCCCCACCTTCAAATAATTTATGTAACCGCCCTGTCTACAGAATGTGGAATTAATTATAGACAGCAATGTTGTTGTTCATTGAGATGTTTTTGTTTTTCCCTCAGATTCCAATCCTGATATGGATGGTCTGCCAAAGGTAAACATTTTAGAATTGCACTCTTATTCATAATCAGATTATAATGACACTCCAACAGTAACCCTTGCCTCTACCCTCTCCTCCCCAGTAGCATTATTGTTTTTGCTGTATTGTTTGCAGGATGCTCAGAATGATCACAACCCAGGGACCCCTGGGGAAGGTGATAGCCAGTTTGGAAACTTACTGCCATTTTCACAAGATAATGTAAGTAAAACCTAACAGTTTGTCTACTGTTAGAACGAATAATGCCTGTGTAAAGTTAACTTTTATTGTCATAATACGCTGAATTCAAAGTTGTAAACTTTAAGTTTAACTCAAGACGGACTAAAATGGACTAAACAATAAGGTCAAGTTTCCGTTGTAAAACAGACCCTAATCCTGGCAAGGATTATTACACCTTTAAGCCTATTAAAATGAGGATGAAAATCTCCTTGTAAGTTTATAAAATTTGACAACCTGTAAAAGCAGTTAGAATGAGAAGCACTTAGAAGCTTCTTTCTAATCAAAAACGTTAATTAAGTGTTAAATCAAAGCGTGAAAATTACAAACTAAGCTTATACAAACCTGCAAGATGTTAAAGAAGCTCAAAGCCCGATCACTTTCTTTGTGGCGCTATTTCCCTCAATCTGAAGCAGTGATCGTCGGGGCCTGGGTCCCGATTCTCGAAAATCCCGATAATTAACCCATTCGTCCATAGGAATTTTGCTGAAAACGCGTTTTGAAGCTAGTCGAGCGGGTTTTTTAGTCACTGGCTGGCTACAAAGAGTACACTTTAGGGCCTTCAGATCCAGATGCAAAATGTTAGTTTGCGAAGTTTTTTTTTCCTTTTTCTAGCTTCGTTTACTCTCCTCCCTCTTCTTTCGCGTTTCGTGCCTCATTTTGTTTTCTTTTGGTGGGCATTTAGTAGGTTTCATTTTGGTGGGAAAAGTTTTTGGGAAGGCTTCTAGGATCTTAGTATTAGATGAAAGGAAAGGTAGCTGGGCAGTGAAACAAGACGTGGAAATTTTCGGGTCAATGTGACATGCGTTTTTCTCCGATCTCCTTAAGTGGATCGTGCTTATTCTGGTATGGTTTGAAAGATCTCTTCACCCTGCACAAGTTAGCGGACAGAGTTGTCTTTGACCATTAAAACTGATGGTGTCACTAGCGGATCCGTACGGGCGGTTCAGTAGCCTGCGTACAGCCGCCCGGCCCCTCCCCTCAGAAAAAAATCGGAGCCCCTTCTCCTATTTCTGAGGGGAGGGGCGGCTGTACACTGGGTAGCGGTTCAGGGGCGAATGTGTTTAATAACGGACCCTTAAAGCTAAGCTTGTTTACATTCAATATAATGGTTTCGATAGTTTTACAGAGAGCTTGATAAAACTATTGGTGAACAAAACAAAATGGACTGGTTTTTTAGCTAGGACCCGCGCTTTTATTCCTTAGATTTTCATTTTAATATTTGATTTCGGGCACGAACAGTTGCCGGGATTTTTCGAGAAACGGAACCTCTGAAAGGGCCGACGGGCTTAATTATTTTCGGCGTATTTGCTCGAACGAGTGCCTCCCTAAAATAAGTATTAAGTACCAAATATATACCGGTCAGACTGAGTTGAAAGTTAGGAGTGGGACGAACTTTACAACAAGCGTTGTTGTTGCGTGTCTAGTGCTGTTTCTATCGATCGATGTTTTAATAAAACAGACAGCGAGAGAAAAAGAGTAAAGTTACGTATATACTGTATTATTCGCAAATAACTAGTTCTATCAAAAATTGAGTCGCACAGACAATTTGAAAAACTTAACAAAGCTCCTCGACGCTTTTTCGAATAAATACTTATACCTTATGTCTCGACAACGTATAAGAAATGATAATATACACCGTGAAGTGTTTAATCTAAAATATGCCAAGCTAAAGAGAAACAAAAATCATCTGGAAATTCGCTATTCCAAAATAGCCCTTTGGACCCGCACAGCAATTATTTGTGTGAAGGTCATTCCTTTCAGTGAACTAGTCTTGATTAAGATGATTTAGAATAATGTCATTGTTTCCATTTTTTCCTGTATTTATCCTCGGACTTTAAAAAATAAGCTTAACACAGTAGGCGTGTAGTATTAATGAATAAAATACTTGTTGAAAGATCATATAACGTTAGTGAAATACCTAATAACTGATATGTGATCTACCTGTGAGAGGTTTATGTTTATTCTTGTGGGTAAACTTTAACATCAAATCGAAATTCTTATTCATGCAATGCATTTGTACTATAAATTCACTTGAAATCATCCTTATAATGACTTAAATTTCGGAAATAAATCATAACCATAAACGGTTTTTTCTTACAGCGGGGCATTTTGAGCCTTTCCATTCATTTTATCCCAGTAAAATCTGTTTTTCCTTGTAAAAGATTTTCAAAGGATGGCTGTTACCACAAGAAATTTGTTCGCTTTTTAGGTTTAAATGTTATCGGATCATGAAACGTTTCTTATCAGGTTGTGTTTATTCCCAAACTTAATTAACAAATGCCACGTCTGTTAAGAACAACCATAGGTCATTTGACGCCATAACCACGTCTTAAAAAAACTTAAATACTCATACGTTCATTCCCATTCTCCCTTTGTTCGCTAAATCACTCGGTTATACACAGAACTTTTTTCATGAGACCGCGGTCCTCGTGGTCAGTAGCAAGGATAAAGCTGATCACGGGATCGAGGCTTAGTCACCGTTCTCTTTCTTTCGGTCGTTTGACTTTATAATTCTTATTTGTTTGCAGACATTTCCAAGTTAGACTGAACGTTAACAGGCTTTTAAAGTGAGTTGAGCTATGTACAGTTAGTGTTGCATGCCAAATGTGGTTAGAGCTAAAGAATGACTTATGGTTGACTTGTGATAACACATTGATCGTAAAAAAAAACCTACCCCTTTGAAACAACTATCAAAAACCGTGTTTCTTGAGCAAAATAACTAGGATTGAAGACGGATATTTAACACAAATTAAGAGTAGTAATAGACGTGCAGTTCTTCCTGAATCAAAAAGTGTTCTCTTGAGTAACGGTTTACCATCTTACATTCTTAGCCTATAGCCCAATTCAATTGTTCTTCCCAACTTCACGAACCCAGAAGTCCTGCGCAGAAGTTATCATACCTGAATATGTGCACTGTCATCAGTTGATAGTAGGGTATTACGGTATGGTGACTTGAGCACTTGTTGTCTAGTCACTGTCTCTGTCTGCATGTTCAGAACTTCCACTCACTCAGGTGGTCAGGATCAGATTAAACCCTTCAGACAAATGGGAGCAAGGGTGGCGTAGTGGTGAGAGCGCTCGCCTCACACCAGTATAGCTTGGATTCAAATCCCGGTGTCGACGCCATATGTTGGTTGAGTTTGTTGTTAATTCTTTCCTTTGCTCCGAGACGTTTTCTACCGGGTACTGCAGGTCTCCCCTCCGTCTCAAAAACCAACATTTCCAAAATTCCAATCCCAATTTTAGGGATTGTAGGCGAAGAACCACTACGTGGATGTGTTACTGAAGAATCATTACTATTATATTTTTTATAAACTTTTTCAAACCTTTAAATTCTCTGTTGTGAGTTTGCCGCATAACTCGGGTCTCAATTTGATGATTACATAATTGCATAATAAATCCTAGTAGGCACTGTAGCGACCTACATATCAGCACTAAGCATTTTTTATGCTGTCTTGGGTACGTAAGAGAACGCTTTCTTCTGAGAAAACCTTTGTTCCTGCTGGAAGAATCAAAGCTTCGGCTTTTAATGTTTTCTTTCCATTTTAGTGTGTACAATCCGTCCGTGGATAAATAATTATGTATTCTACTGATATCTTTTATAAGTTGCGTTTCGCGTTCAGTCATCCAAACAATGGAAGTTTTAAATCATTCTTAATTTATGTCTTTGAGATAAAATAGCGTTTTAACAGCAAAGCTTTGTGTCTTACCGGGTTAGTATTAGCATGTGTTTCAGGCCGAGCTGGTGAAACGAGACAGCTCGATGCACTCGTCTCCGGCGCCTTCTCAAAAGGATACGCGCGCAAATTCCCTTTCCCATGATCTTCCTTGTAACAGCTGGCACAAGCTGAGCTTCAGTCCATGTGTACCTGAAAAACTCAACAATGAATCAATCAGTACTTGAGTGTACCTAATTTCTGACTTCTCGGTCGGATCTGAAATTCCAGACCTAACTTAGAGTTATATATGTGAATAAATCAGAGATAGGAGGAGGCAGCGTCGCCGGCTGAGCGGTAAGAGCGCTGGACTTGCAATTCGGAGGCCCCGAGTTCAAGTCCCGCCCTGACTGCTACAGGGTCCGTACAGGTCATGAAAAACCTGGAAAGTCATTGAATTTAAGAATTTCGTTTTCAAGGCCTGGATAGTCATGGAATTCAATTTTCGGTCCTTGAAAGTCATGGAAAATTAAAGTTTTGTTTGGTACATAAGTTGCTGCAGATGACAAAGCAAGGATAATGTAAGATAAAGAGGAGTAATTAAACAGCGTGTTCTTTTCTGTTAAACTGTTTAAGGTAAAAAAAAATATGTTAAAACAAGTAAAGTTTTGAAAATTTTCCAAAGTGGCAGCTATAACTAAGGTCATGGAAAAAGTCATGGAATTTGAAGAACTTGAAAGAATACGAACCCAGCGCTAACTGGATTTGTTCACGGTAGTCCCGAGTTCAAATCTTCGATCCCGCCAGTCAGTGGGATTCGTAACCCTGTTATGTTTGATTTGAAAGTCATTTGCTGGGCTCCACTAGCATAAGTGATATAAATGCTGCCGAGGATAAATAATAACAATAATAATCATCATCATCATCATCATTATTATAGACTGCAAAAAGATCGATTTTATTCTCAAAATCGGTTTAACGTAGCGCAAGAATAGCCTAAGAATCTCACGCGCGCCCAGCGCGCGAGTCTCATACGCCCTAGGGGCTCTCCCCAGTCTCGCTGTCTGTTTTCAGCCTTGGTCCAGACCGTTTGGTTTGGCGTACTTGAATACACAAAAATACGGACTGTTTTACAATTTATTATTATTATTATTATTATTATTATTATTATTATTATTATTATTATTATTATTATTATTATTATTATTATTATTATTAAAAAATGAAAGTGAAAATGGATAGCATTGATTCAAGCCTCTCCCCAGGCCTGCTGCGTCTGGTTAATCAATCGAGGGACATGGGCGCAAGTTCTTGGCTGAATGCGATGCCTCTCGCAGATAAAGGTTTAGCCCTCAACAAGCAAGAATTCAGAGACTTGCTACGCTTGCGTTATGACTTGCCCTTAGTCGATTTACCAAGTCATTGCATATGTGGGGATAAATTCACCGTTAGTCACGCCCTCTCTCGTAAAAAGGGGGGGTTTGTAGCGCAGACACATGACGGTGTACGGAACTTGTTAACGACATTCATCGACGAGATCTGCAATAATGTCGAAATCGAACCACGCCTCCAACCCCTGGACAACGAGCGATTTCATTTGAGGAGCGCTGTTACAAGTTCTGAGGCAAGATTGAACATCAAAGCGGGAGGTTTCTGGGCAAGAGGAGTTACGGCATTTTTTGATGTTAGAGTTACGCACGTCAACTCCAAGTGTTACCAGAGCAAGCCAACATCGGAAGTGTTCAAAGAGCAAGAAGAAGCGCAAGTACCAGCAGCGGGTGTTAGATGTAGAAATGGGTTCGTTTACGCCTTTAGTGTTTGGAACCAATGGCGGAATGGGAAACGAGTGTCAGCGGTTCTTAAAGCATCTCGCAGACAAGATAGCTCAGAAAGACACCGAGCCTTATCATGTTGTAATCACTTGGCTCAGGACACAGATCTCGTTTGAACTCTTAAGATCGGTACATGCATGCGTCAGAGGTTCGCGAACGCCGTTTCGTAGCAAGATAGAGCAATCATTAGACTGTAAAATAAATGTCGCTAGTGCAGATATCTGAAATACGTGTCTATATGCTTTTATACTTAGGGCTTTCTATGGACACTGGTGTAGCCGTCATTAGTATAATTCGATTGTATGATCTTGATATCTCTGCATAATGGCATTCTTAATTTTATAGAATTTTGAACTTCTATGATTGATTATATCTATTTCCTCTTCTTTTATGTAAGGTTAAGTTACTTCTATTTTTTAGAATTTTTAAATGAAAAGTTTTCTCTTTCTTCACTTATTATATATAGGATTGTTTTTGTTCTCTAATGAAGGAATTGTAGATAGTGTTTTGATGAATTGATTAGATTTTTTGTAACAGCAGGTTGATTGTAAATAGGATTTTAATTGAGGTTTTGTAATAAAGATTTTACCAATTTATTATTATTATTATTATTATTATTATTATTATTATTATTATTATTATTATTATTATTATGCGCATGTCTCACACCTATAGGTGGCCTTATTCCCGACCATCAAGCTATCTCCTTTAGCCTTAGGTGTCTAGGGTCCTTCTTAGGATCTTGGCTGTTCCCAACAAACAAGTTTCTGGATCATTATTATATAATAGTAATAACATTTGTTTTATTATAATTAGTATATAATACTACTAATAATAATTATTATTTTCATTTTTATTATTATCAGAGATTATCATTCCAATTGGTCAGTGTACCGATAACCAACATTGTGTAGCTTCTCCTAAAATGTTCTACCATCGTGGTATAGGATATAATGGGGCCAAAACCGATTGTGGAATTGCACATCTTTTAGGCATCTTACTGACGAACAGTTACGACTTACTATAACAATAGGCCATTTTTACGATGACGACATTTGACTACAACTACCAGAATTCATTTCGTTTTTGCTTTCTTATTTAAATTTGTCAATCCCGCTGAGGATTAGAGAACAATAGCTCTAATTTGCACAAGAAAACAACAAACTCAAGGATTCTGGTAGTTGTAGTAAAATGACGTCATCGTGCAATTGTCCTATTTGCCGTCTGTCCCGTTTGAATTGTTATTAGAGTGTTGGTTGTTGCTGCTTTTGTGTGATAGACTTTATTATTTTTCAGGATCACTGCGACTCAGTTGCGATCCTAAAGATCAAAGAAAGTATGCAAGAAGAAGCTAGAAGATTTGAAAATACAGATGGGACAACAGACCATCAAGGAGAGTTCTTCATGCAATAACAGCAAGATAGCTTTTTTTCTTTGTATATTTATCAACTATTATCAAACGATTTGTAGAAAACAATAGTGCAGAGGGGGTTTGGACCTCAGTTTTAGGAGAAAATCTAATAATATTTCCAAACTCGCTAGTACTAGGATCATTTCTCTTGTGCTCTGGGGTTAAACATTTTAGATTACTCTCCTGTTGTAACAGTCCTTGAATCCTCAGAACACACGAAACAAATGGTACCTAAAATAGATTGTCTCTAAAATAAGGTTATATTATATAGAAAAGGCAAAGTATGTTTGTATAGTTCGTGTACTACGTTCCGTCTTCGTTTAACATATTCATCTGTCGTTGGGTTTACGTTGTAGATTTACTGGCAAGTTATAAACTATAGTAAAGATCTCGGCCTTCAGCTAAAAAGGTAAAATATAGACAAGTATCAACGAAAATCATTGAAAATATAACTTGTTCTCCACAAGAAAACTCTCGCTACCCGTAAACATTATCATTGCTTGTGAACAATTTCGAATTATTTCAACAAAATATGTTTAGGGGATATCTTTGAGTCGGCAGAACCAAATATTCGTCTCTGGCTTATTTAAATTGAGAATATAAAACCACACGAGGCTCTTCTTGCCTCTCGAAGTTTACTAAGCCAATGTTCACGCTATACCGACACGAAAAGGTATCCGGTATGGTTTAAATACCTATCCGATATAGAGATCGGCGCGGCACAGTTTCGCTCCGTTGCAGAAATTGCGCCGAAATCACCGCTCTTCAGCGTTCGTACAGGTCATGGATAACCTGGAAAGTCATGGAATGTAAGAATTTCGTTTTCAAGGCCTGGAAAGTCATGAAATTTAATTTTCGGTCCTTGAAAGTCATGAAAAACTAAAGTTTTGTTTGGTAGAGTCGTTGCTGCAGATGACAAAGGAAGGATAATGTAAGATAAAGAAACATTAAACAGCGCGAACTGCACGCGTTTTGGTGGATACCACAGTGTTTCTGTTGAACTGTTTAAGGTCAAAAAATATGCCAAAACAAGTAAAGTTTTGAAAATTTTCGAAAGTGAAAGCTTAAACTAAGGTCATAGAAAACTAGAAAAAGTCATGGAATTTGAAGAACTCGAAGGAGTAGGAAGCCTGTGGTTAGGTGTGAACCAGAGCCCTATCTGATATGGTTTTCGTGCCGACGCAAATGCTGTCCGGTATAGTGTGAACATAGCCAAAGAATCGTTGGATCACTATACGATTCTGCAATGTTCCCCTCCTACCCCTCCCTTAACCCTGCGTTAACACGGACCTCTTAACTTAATACGCAGTGTTGTGTTAAGGGAGGGGTCGGTGGGCAGGTTTGTAGAATCCTATACTGGTCTTTATGGCTGCGATACTAGCAATTTTTATAGGAGCCATTGACGAGTCAGTTTCTCGAACACAGTCCTTTCTGGGAAACCTGTAGAAGTAAAATAGGATTAACCTGGAGGACTGGAATGATTTTGTGACCTTTCATCGACATAGCTGAATGCCCAGGGTATCTTGCTGATCACACTTCTTGAGGCAATACTTGGTGGCCTTTATAAAATCGTTTCAGGTAAGCGGTTATGAGGCCGTCTGAACCGTCCCTGAAGGACTGTATATTGAATACTGATTATCCGAACTTGCCTAGGAGTCCTTAAACGATCACGTTTGCTATACTCTTCTTATTCTCGTCAATTTAGAGGATGTAACCTGACTGTTTTGTAAAATGCATGCATCTCCGTCAATATTTATGCTAAACGCGCTGTAGAAATTTATCACTGGTTTAAACGCTTGTGATTTCTGTTATTAAGTGTAACGCTTAGCGAACCCGGTAACTTTTTAGCTCGCTAGGTATATTTAAATGATTCAAAGCGGCCGTTTTAAGGGAAAACTCAAGTTCATAGAGCGTTTGCATTGAGTTTATCTTTTAAACTGAATGTTATTTAGGTTTACCAGCAGCACCACTCTGTAGGAGAATAAATCGCCACGACAGAATATGTGGGTAGACTGGACACCAGCTTTCATCAGCACTTGGGTTTATGGGATTGGTTTGGGTACGTAAATACTATGTAGTGGGTTCTGAGTTCTTACTCAACCTCTAAGAATGACCAGCTTCTAAATTCTCCTTTAAAACACTGTTAAATCAAAGAAAAGGTCATGAGAAAGGTTCTGCAAGTTAATAGGTCTTGATTTTCAAACGAATCGTCTTCATCTGGCACCAGTTGTTTAAAAGGTGGATAACGCTATACATCTTTTGAGCAACTGGGGCCAGCACCAAAGCAAATATACGGAGAACAGGGAAATTAATATGCATTTCGATAGTAGGGTTTAAAGTACCAATGGGAGTTCATATTGGGTGCTTAAAGGTCTTGCAAAGCTGGTGTCCAGTGTATTCAAAGTTTCTGTAGTGTTGAGAAATCCAGTTATTAGGCAAGGTAATGCCAACCCACTCCCTTGGATTTTCTGTCGTCCTTTTTCAAGACAGACTGACCCTGGGAGTGAATTTTGGATGATTACCTTGTTTAGTTTCCATGACCTTGCTAAGGATAATCAAATAGATATTAATCATCAATTCAGCTGAAAGGCTTGCTAGACTTGCGGGTATCTATTCAGCAGGCCCAGCGAAACCTTGTTTCTAACGGCGGCAAAGTATTAACTGCTTTGAAATGAAATTAATTTTTCTCTGGGAAAAAGTATGGGGTGTCACCAAATTACACTGGGCTATGATTAATGTGATTGAACAAGTATGACTGATGTGAAGTAATTTTATGGAACCAATTTTGAAGACTGAACAAGTATGTTCCAAAGCAATATACCCCTATATTACTTTCTCCTAAATACCATAATAAATCTGTATAAAGATCTGTCAAAATATGTTACTCCTCTAGATAAGTACTCTTATACAGTTTGTGATCATATTGATTAAAGAAATTGCAAATTGATTATAACTTGCCAACTATCCGTCGTATGGCGATTTTTTTTAACCTTTAAGTGTGAACGAACGCGTTCCATAAGCTTAAGGTGGATTTCCACTGTCGCGTATTTTTTCCTTGCGCACGCGCGTAAATAAAATAGAGACAATGTATGGAATGGCCCTCGAATACGTAAAAGATGAACCTCGCTCAACGTTTATGTTTACGCGTGGCCTTTCATACATTGCCTCTATTTCATTTACGCGCGTAATTATCATAGAGGCGATGTATGGAGGGTCGTGCGTAAACGAAGAAGTTGAACCTCGCGCAACTTTTACGTTTAAGCACGTAAATTTCGAGTCCGTCGCACGTAAAAGTTACGCGACAGTGGAAATCCACCCTTGGGGTTGATTTCCACTGTGGCTTAATTTTTACGTGCGCATGCGCGTAAATAAAATAGAGACAATGCATGGAAGGTCACGCGTAAACGTAAAAGTTGAACCTCGCTCAACTTTCACGTTTACGCGTGGCGTAAATTTTACGTGCGTTCAAACGGGAAAATTACGCGACAGTGGAAAACAGCCCTTAGCGAACTTTCAGCCCAATGATTGATTGTTTTAATAAATACAAAAGCGAGCGTGCGAATTCATGAGAATTTTGTACCCAAACGATCTTAGGAAACCTTTGCGCAGAAAGCTTATACTCAACCCCTCGAATACCTGGAATGACAAGAATGACAAACAAATGTACTTACAGTGCAGAAACCCCTGACGAATCGCTCCTTTTCTAAGAATATTAACCAGTCAGAAGGAGTGTATATCCTGTTGTCCACAGGCCCTTTATAGCACTCAATTTCGATCCGGTCGTTTGAGCGGAAATGCCTTGCATGCTGAATACTTTCCCGAAACGCATGACTGTGAAAGGCAAAAGGGTATATCTTCGCCGGATTAGACTTAAACGATTGTTTATTAAGAGAGTTGTTTGATTGGCAGTTACAAATGAAAAAGTATCAAGTGTTTTTTTTGTTCATTTGTTGGTTGGCTTGTTGTTAATGCCTGGATATTGGTCAAGTTCTTTTTCTTGTGCTTTTATGGACCGAGAAGTTATTTCAAGTTAATTCTGGTTGGTTTCTCTTATATCAGTATAAAATGTCATTTCTACAGTTTTCAATAAGTCATCCGTTTGACCTGTTTTTGAAAACTCTTGTATTCGTCATTGAACATGGCTTGATTTCGCTTAGAGAGTTTTGCTAGGGTTTGTACTACTACATACTCCAACAAACTGCATAAGTTGCGGCGTATTTAACTGTGAAATGATCGTCTCCACATTTTTCATCCCGTTATCTAAATACATGAAATTCATTATTTCAGTTTCGGTTATCATTTTCATGTGCAGAACTATTGAATGAGAATTGACAAATTTTGTCACTGTTCAACGTTTATTATCATATCTTACCTTCAGCGATGCCCAGAGATTTCACCACCATCCTCAACTTCAGAGCCTTCGATCGAAGTCTTTAAAATAATCACCCTCTTCGCCATGAAATAAGATGCTCATGACAATATTAGGGCTTACTGTACTTTGCGAAACGAAACACTTTTTTGTCTGTAAAATGTCTAACGGCCACTTTTAAATCACCAAAATATTTTTAACTGGCGCATGGAGAGAAATCCCAACGAAAACAAACAGAATTTGCTTCTAAATCGTCAAAAAGTTGACTTACCTTTTGAATCAGGTCTGGCACTTAATTAGTTGTGTTTGACCACATTATCTGTCCAAACATTACCCACACCAGAGCGGGCAGTGGGAAGTTAATCAGAATCTTGTACTTGTGAAAACAGCAGATAGTGCTGCTGAGTCACACCAACCAATAACTCAAATGCAAACATCCATTATTAAAATATTCTTGGGGAAAGGTTTTAGACAATACGTGTCTGCAGAAATCCTCGAGGGGGTAGGAGATCGCAGAGAGAAAGAGAGAGAGGGGTGGGGGAGAGAGAGGAGTGTACTGACTTAAAGGAGGGCGAGTTGTTTAAGTGACGTTTTCCTCGGCACCGATCCGTGATCCACGTTGACCAGCATTGCCCACTGGACAAGGGTGGCGAAGAGAAGAGCTTATTACAAACTGTCTATCGGTGGCTCTACATAACACAGCAATAAATGTTTCATATATTCTAATGCAAAATCAACAATTTATTTTTTGACATTTCCTTTTAAAACTAAACACAAGAACAATGAAAAACAGTGAATTCCTCGAGCAGTTGAGCATTTTCCCAAAACCATCCTCTCTGGACACTGTGTACAGAAATTCTAAGCAAACTGTGTGACAGGCCAGTTTCTAATTATCAAAATTCATAGTTGGCTCCGAGGCTTGGGGATAAAATAACAGAAATGAATTATTAATGTATGCATCCCATCAGCTTCTGGGCCAGGTATGAATTTTAAGAATTCGAAACTGGCAATTTAGTAAGAATGGTAAACACCAAGCTCTACGTGAATCCCTAAAGTGCTTTAACAATACCATACAATTCAAAATTTAATTCCCCCGAATATAAAACACAGTGGGAGGGGGCTTTGTTTGCGAATAGCCTGCAATATCTTATCCGATCTTAGACAGACACGCGCCGACGCGAGTTCTCATTTCTTAAGTATTAACCGTCATACCGGACTAACAAACCACCGAATAAAGTATACACTGGTATGACATCAGCTTATACGTAAGGTATCGCATTTTCAATAGCTTGCTTTTGTGTTTGAAGTTGACATGGTCAGAGAGAGATTAGGTTGTAACGAATTTGTAAACAATGAGCCAATATGATTATCTTTTCACACTGAAGTATTACTGGCACAAATTTCAATTCAGTTGGAAGCCCTATGATTTTGATAATCAAATTTCAATTCTGTTTATAAGCCCCCTCCGAATGCTAGGCCTCAAACAAGGCCTTCAAAAAATATAAGCACAGGGAATTATTTCAAAATTCTACGGTATTTTTAAAAGCAGCTAAGTGTGGATAGTACTGATTTACGAAAAAGCTGTTCACACGGTAATAATAATTAGCCTAATAATCATTAGTCTGTTTGATTTTTCTTTCCATTTTCCAGTCCAAGTCAGGCAGTCCACTAGCTGGTTTAGTAGCCACAAACACTGCAGTCGCAATCAGTGTGTTCAATGAGATTCTCAGTGAAGTATACGTCACTTCCGGTAAGATCCAGGGTGCGCTTCTCGATACCTTTGAATATCTTGAGCGACTGCGAACTTCCGGTCTCCACGCAAGTCATTGGGAAGGGAGTTAGCTTGCTCTTGGTTGCCTCGCATTCTTCATGGCATCGGAGGACTGGGGAGATTGGGTAGCAGTCGTGGCTTGTAGAGTTGATGTCCTTGCGAATCTGAACAAATTCTTTCTTGAGATGACAGCCGGCTTAAACAAGAAAATTCAGTCGATCATCTATTTTTTCAGATACGGCATAACGTACACACTGACTTCTAGAAGGAGATGCAGATCACCCGATTGGAAGATTAAGTCCCAGCAAACATATAGCGTAGGACGATGCAAGGATTAAACAACAACGCGCATCGAAGATTCTTAACGCCTTGTGAAGTTGACGCTTGAATCAGAGGAATTCAAATTAACATGTGACTGTTCCGACGGTGTTGTTCACCGGGCTTAACATTAATTTTTCACCAGACAGGATTCTCTTGGAAAGGTATATCTGTTCACACGTTTTTTTTTGGGAAGGGGGGGGGGGGGGGGAGGGGGGGGGAACAAGGTCCATTATGGTCTATGTGAAAATGGTGAATACCGTATTTTCTCGATTTAACGCCGGGCCCCGAAAAAACGCCGGGTGTTGGAGGGGAAGTTGTAGATACATCTCTCCCCAACGTTTATTTGTGGTATAATAAACTAACGGTATAAAGGCAAGATGCACGGCTGTCAAGAAAAAGGCGTAAAAACTTTTCTTTAGTAACAGTAAGCCCGAATAAAATGCAAATTCAAATAAACGCCGGTCCACAAGGCCAAGTTTGAATTTAACGCCGGGGCCTTTAATTGAGAATATACGGTACACTAAACACTTTCATCTTCTTCAAACAGAGTCATATCCCATCATATTTACGTCACATTGTAGAGCTTATCACGAACTATCTATTTAACGTCTTGTTTTTTCAAACAGAAACATAGCAAAAGCCCAAGGTAACAGGGATTAAAAAACAGCCACGGTCCAACAGTCAAAAGTACACAAAAGAAAGCAACCTTTTGTACATGTGTATTCAGGCACCATCCACATGTGTCCATATTTGATCTTGTCTGGAATGGTGTAAGGTCGGCCTCTTGGTGTCTTGAGGTCCAAATACTGTTCAGCATTGAAGTCTCCACACATGCCGCACGTACGGTTGAAAAAGTACGGCGAGACTTGAACATCAATCTGTTAAAAATAAGGTGTAAGGAGGCATCATTAGTTTTTCAGACATTAAGCTAACAAAAAACATCGACTACAATATAGGCTCCCTCCCAGCCGTTCTTTTCTCGTCACGCAACGCTCGTTTGCGAGAGAGACTAATTACAATACGTTTCCGTTTTGCATTTTGTAAACATTTTACAGCAGAAGAACCACAAGGCGACAAAACGTAAAATTAGTCAATTGTGTAACGTTTATCAAATAGACCATTTCAGAGTTGCCTCAAGCCTCTGTTTCAAAGTGAGGCTAAGTGCGAAGCCATTGACACGTACTTAGCCTCGTTTTCAACGTGAGAGTTTTGGGAAATCGGAAATGGCTTACTGACCAAGGGAATATGGCAATGAAAAGATACACCGATAACTGTTACGGAAAGTCAGCAAACGTAGGTAAGGAAAGAGCGATGTTTTATCTATCCCTTACTTAAAGAGTGTCTGTAATTTTTATTTTCTTTGTGTTCAGCTTCAAGCAAATGAATTTTCCTTTTCTTATCACAGAACCACTCATGTCCAATAATAGGCCCTTTGCAGCTAGTGCTGGAGGGTAAAAGTCGCACTGGGACAAGACAAACAAAGAAAAGTACCATTTCAAATTCTGTATGTCTTTTGTTTGTCTTGTCCCAGTGCGACTTTTGCTCTCCAGCGTGGCGGTTTTGTACCACGTGAATGGCTAGCTGCAAAAGGGCCTATTACCACTTGTTCAAGTCGTAAAATTTAACATTCAACAGGTACGACTGGCACAAGTAGTAAAGTTGTGCGACTGGTTCAAGTGGCAAATTTGATGCGTTAGAGTGAATTTAAGTGAAGTACATTACTTGGCTGCATCTCATTTGTGTAGTGTTACGCGTCGTGCGAGTCATACAAGTAATAAAATAGCATCTCATTAGCAACACTTGGAAATTGAGAGCAGTTTTGTCGAGAGAAGGCATTTCAAGTGGTACGAATCACGAGAGTCGTACAAATATAATGGTGAAACGTCATCGGTAAGCGGAGACATGAAAAATGCACAAAAAACTGACGTTGAAAACAGCTGACATTTGTATTACATTACACTGTATAATGAGTACCTTGGTTCCTCGAACAATCACTAACTGCAAGCCGATTTCACACAAGACGCGAACTTCTTCTTTCTTTGAGTCTTCCAAGATTGTGGCAATGGATTTCAACTGGAATTTTCGTATTCCTTTGTCGAGAATCTTTCCATTTATCTGAAAACCAAAGAAAGTTTACCCTCAAACTTCGGCCCGTCGTTTTAAGGATTTCGTGTTAATGTTCTTGTAAACTAGTGATATGTTTGTTCCACATTTCTTGTCTGACTGACGATGTATTTTACTTATTTAATCATAATACTTTAATTTCCATTTGCACGTTCCATTAGCCATTGCAACAGAGGCAAAATAATCCCCAGCTGACAACTTTTCAACTTTTGTTTTCGACTCTTCGGGAAAGATCTACTTGCTTTTCAGTGGAGGCTCGAGTCTGTATTTCTTCATGTTTCTTCGGTTGCCCTAAAAAGTGCAGGACCAGCAAATATAATATAATGTAATGAGTAGTTAATTTTTCCTCCTCACAGTTTTGTATTTCCTCTTTAATATTATATTTTTTTCCTTTTTATTTTTACTTACTTGATTATTTTTTGTAGTTTCTCTGGGATAGTATAGCTTTTTACAGCTACTTTGCAATTCCGAGGTTTAAATAAAGGTGATGTGTGATGTATCTATGTTTATATAATGTGGTGAATATTACGCGCGCTGTGATTGGTCGTTCTTCATAATCTATTAGAGTACAAACGCATGGATTAATTCAAAACAAGTTTAGAAGGGCTCAAAAACACAAGAAGCCAAACCTGTATTTGATAACTGCCGTTACTTATATATTCAACTCGTATCTTCTGCCTCTGGACGAATAATTCAATAACTTTCTGGTGAGGTTTTCCCGCTTCTTTTGACACCAGCACCAAAAAGGAGTTGTTCTTTGTGCAGTCCTTGGTCAGCACATGTACGCAACGGTCTGGTAACGAGTACTGGAACTCCACGTCATCAAATGTTCTGAACGAGTCGTGATCCACAGTACACACCGCTGGAAATAGTAAAACAATAACCTAACTAACATTGCATGCTGATTTTGGAAAAGTAAGGAATCAGAGCATACATGAAGACTCACTGGAATAAAAATGATAGTTCTGTCGTATCCAAAAGTTTATGGTAATAGATTAAGTCACTTACAGGATAGCGTCGCAGAGACGATGAGCTGCTAAAATCATTTAAGAAGGCAGTGTACTGTTTTTACACCTGATGTGCGTAAAAACTGCAAATCTAGGATCTTTTGATACTCCCGTATTTTCCCGCAGAAATTGAGAAGAGAAAATGTGCTTCCTAACAAATGAGCCGCATAAGGTAGATGGAATGTGCGCCTACAATGACCTCCAGTCTTTCAGCCAAGGGCATCACAACCCAAAGTCACAGCAGGCCTTACGTAACTCACCGATCAACTTCGCAAATGAATTGTTTCAACCCTTTCAGTAGGTTTTGTGTAATTTCTTTGTTTGCTTTTGCCACACGTGCCCCAGAACTACAACGCTTTAAGCCGAACCTCAACGCTTCCGTTATTTGTAATGAGGACTTTTGCTTGTTTTAACACTGAAACGCTAACCAAAATGGCAGGAAATGCAACAAATGCAATGCGAATTAGACGCTGATAACTTACCTTTAATTTCCAATAACGTTATGCGTTTTAACTAGTAAGACCTCAGGAAACTAAATAAGTAATCTTTTTAAAGGGGGTTGGGGTGCGACAAGGAGCGGGGAACACCGTAAGAGGTATGGGCTTATTAAGTCTGTCAAATTGATTAACAATACAATTTACAAAAGGTTGAGTTTGATCGTCCGGGTGAACGTAGTCCTGAATAGGACTGTTGTTGTTGACAGTGACTGACGTTTCGACAACCTGTGCGGTAGTCATCTTCAGAGTCAAAGTGAGTTGTGTCACGTCAGTTGATGGTATTATACTCTGGTTATTGACCTGATTGGTCAATTATGTCGCGATGTTATTGGTCGTCTGTCAGTTAAGCCGTGATGTTATTGGCTATGAAGACTCGTAATCAGTGATTGGTGCGTTTCACAGTAATACAGTTTACTTTTTCAAGTTCCAAGACACAGTATTAATGGTACAGTCTGTACTATTACTGGACTGGTAATCATTTAATAGGCCTTATACAACAATACCATAATACTCTTTGTTTTCACCCAAAAGTTCTGCTCAAGCATTGTTTAAAATTGCTCTTAGGCCAATTGTAGGTACCAAGAGAACTTGAGAAGAATGCTTTAAAAAAAACCAAAGAGCAATAATGGTATTCTTTTAATAAAGTCTATAGAGGGGAGAAGTGGCTACGTCACGCTGCCACGGTAGCAAAATTTCTGAATCTAAACTAACCGTGATGCATCAAATATTGCAGTAAAAGAAACCAAACAAAATGACATGTCTAACTCTTTTGTGAATGACTGCACTCAGGAAAAAAACAGTTCCCCATACTTTTCTTCCATCGTTCGCGCGCAACTTGCAGTCTCTGTCAAGAAAGGTCGCTGAAATTTTGCTACAATGTTAACTTGACTTAACTTTTTCTCCTCTCTATTGAAGCTTTAATTCCAGAGACAGCAGATGGTATCACGTGTAGACTACATGAAAAGCACATAAGTGGACAAGCTAACCCGTTCCTGGTTTCTGGTTAGCCTATCTTCGATTTCTACTCACGTGAAGACACCAACTGCATCATGGGATTGCCATGTGGTATGAAGCCATGAGTTTTGATTCTGACGTCATTCATCATTAACTTTCGAGATGGCATGATGAGTTCAAGATCCACAAGTTGCTCAGTTTTGAACTTTTTGATCTGGTAGTCCAATCTGTGGAAAGAAAACCAAGTTTTCACGGCGCCTTCTTTTCTCCTCTGAGGACTTTTCAAATCCCTGGTAGACCGAGGACTAAAATACTCAGTATTTCCAGGCTAAGTTGAAGAGAAAAATGTAAATAAATGTGTTAAAAACCAATCTTTTGAGTGGTAGGTTTTGACTGTGCAAAAGTTTTGACCACTTCTCTTAATAGGGAGCTTAAACAACGACCAAGGCAACGAGAACGGAAAAAAGCAGTTGGTTTAGATGGGCAAAGCAACAACTTTACACGTTCATCATTTTTTTTTTTTTTTTGCATTTTTTTGACGCTGATACACGACAACGACATGAAACTGCCTCATTTCACGTTTTGTAGAGGACGTGAACACAAGAAAATAATTTCTTTTTCTGTTTTCAACTTAGATAAAGTGTCTTATAGCGTTAAACTCCAGAAAAACTCACCAAAATTTGACAAATTTAACGGAATATAAGCGACGAATTTTTAGCGGAGCATCATGCGTAGGAAATTTGGTAATCTATGCATCCAAGAAATTTTGGTTCTGGCAACTTGAATCGTCCGTACGTCCGTACGTCCACTCCTTCATGTAAACAACGCCTTGAACCCGACACCGGTATAAAACAAAGTTATAGGATGAGTAACAGTACTAATTGTCCGTCCAAAGCAGCTAATTTCCCCACACTTCTCCGTTCATGGCACTTCGCCCTCTTTTCCCTGTTAGCCTTCCGTCTGTCATCGTCTATCGTATTGTAAACCTCTGTTATTAACCTCTGCCACCCGCACGGTCTCCTACAATGACAGAAGCGAAGCACTGACAGAAGCAAAGTACTGCTCTACGCTTCAAAATATCCTGCAAAGTGTCCTTACGTCTTAGAAAAGGACGACCAACTCTTCTAGAACCCTCTGTCAGTTCTACATAGCTAAGTGCCTTTACTGGCCATTCATCTGGCATGCGAGCAACATAGCACAACCAACGTAATCTATTTCTGATACGAGTGATCTCAATATCTGTGGTATTAGCAAGATCCACCAATTGTGATGAAGTGATCCCATCTGATGTTAGGAATAGATCTCAGATGCCGTTGGTGGACGGTTCTGAGGGGCTTAATATGGTGATTGTACAGGGTCAAGGTTTCGCTACCATAAATCATTAGAGGGAAGACGTACTGAATGCGTGCAGTGATCTCTGCATCTCCATTGCAGTCTTTGGTAACATAACTACCAGGATATTTGAAGCGGTCTACTCTCTTCAACTTGTGTCCATCAATGTAGAAGTTAATCTGTTCACCTACATTCATGGTCTCTGTCTTCTTGATGTTGATCCGAAAATCCTTCAAATGTACGCCGGGGTGAAATTTCACATTTCAAGCACCCGCGCGTTTTGGCGGTAAATTGCATGGCCACCAGGACTTTTGGAGGAAAAAAACAAAAACAAAGCCGAGTCTTGTTGTTGTTGTTGTTTTTTTTTTTTTTGGTAAATAAGATTTTTTTCTGCTGTTCTCGTTAGCGTCGCCGTTTGGCATTACACGATATCGTTTTTTGTTTGAGTAAACTATAGGTTTATTTTCACGCCAGAGCTTCGTGTTTAGCCCTGGCTAAATCTATATATTAAACAGTATAAATTCACTGTTTAAGAGACGCTTTCACCACTGTCGTCGTTGCTTAAGTTCCTTTACAACAAATATTTACCATAAGAGTATGGAATAAAAAAAACTTCTGACGTTCTTCAAAGATAAACTGGTTATCAAACAACAGACGGAAGGGACTGGAAAATCAGGATTGGTAGCGTATTCAGAAATGTTATTTCAAACATTTTATCGACGAACTTTTACAAAAAGAACTTGGATACTAATTTTTTTTAATTAGGTCGAATTTCATCACTTTGTATGCTTTTCCTGATCCTGGCGAATACGAAAACTGTTCCTTGGGAAGTTTCTTGTTGGGTTTATCTATCCAGGTAAAGCATCTATGCAATCAAAGATAAAATCCACAGTGATGTCTACATGAAAGCAAATTCTAAATTTCAACTCCACTCTGATGACAGGGTCGCGCGCTGATTGGTTGATTGATTGATTGATTGATTGGAGAGCTATAGTCGATAACAGTACAGACCATGGCGGAATTTCTTTTTCTCTTCCTTGCGCGATTATCTAAGAAATTTGTTAAAAACTGCCAATGAATGTTATTGTAAAAAAAAAACTACAGCAATTTTCCATCGTCTATACTCTTACCGACCATAGAAATGACGACATAAAATGTAAAAAACAATGCAGTGAAACCACTCGCCTTTCCACTTGAGTTTTGAACATTTTGACGTCATTCAGGGGGTATGGTCTATAAGAGTACAGACCATGGGGATTTGTTAGACTGCTATCAGTGGCACTAAAACAATTCACTAATGTTAAAATGATACGATAAAGGAATAGCAAATGAAATTGCATTCAATACCTGTCCCGATATCGGCGAGTAAATGTCAGAAAAAGTTGGTAGAAAATTTTGACCACTGAATATGGCAACTGATTGTAGACTGTCACAACTTCAACCTCCCGGCGACCTGGCTCCTTGATGGTGAAAGCCGACTGCAGAGACATGATATTAAGATACGTTGTTATAGCGGAGATCCATGCGAGCGCGAACGGCGCGCGAGCGGAACCCCATAGCAAAGAAAAATTGGTTATCTATCCATCCGCGAAATTTTGGTAATAACGTAACCGTCCGTTCGCCCGTCCGTCCGCACCACAAGACAACCAATATAAAATGTCACATTTTCTTGCCAGTATGGGAGCCTGTAACCTGATAACTTGATAATAGACATCCATATTATGGTCATATTGACAGTCGTCAAAACCGGGTATCCGCTGTCCAGAATCACCTGACCGTATCGCAGGTTCAGATGACAACTCACCGAGGTCACGTATTGTTTGTTTTACCGCTGACCAGTTACTAACTTTTAGTTGATCACAGGTTCAAATTTATGTTTTTCTTCTAGTCCTCAAAGGACGTGGTCCTCCTCTAACCTAATTACAGATTTGTGGATTTCTTTGCAATGGTTCCAAGTTAACCCAAGTTCACTGTCTGAAGTAAATTATAAATGCACAAACGGGGGCTTCGCTTTTAGTCAGCTCTGGCTAAATCTATATATCATTTTCTGATATTCATTTTCAGAATTTCACGGCTAAACTAAACAGGGATTACCACGGGTTGGTTAGAAGAAGGCGGGAGAAACGCTGCCAGTTTTCACATGTGTGAATAAACACAACTACACAAACGTGAAGCCTGAAGCTAAAACTTTGAACGATTTTCGAAGCTATCCAAAAAGAGATGCAGTAGCTAGTAAGGGAAAAAGATGCAGATAAGAGAATTGAGAGTCCCTTGCAAATCATTTAGGGACTGGTCAAAAAGTATAGGCGGGGATGGGCCGGAGCAGAGAGGGGGTGGGTCATGAGGTTTTGAGCCTTGTGCAAGGGGTGGGTCGTGCAATTTTCAGCTACCCTTAGGGGGTGGGTCACCCTATTTTATTACATAGATAGGCACTAACTACTAACGAGACAGTTGACCACACTTGTTATATGAAACACAGCCAGCTGGAAATACTCACAAACCTGTTGTGCGAGAAAATACCAAGCGGGACAGGCCGCACATCTATACGGGCGTGGAACCCTCTGTTAACCTTTTTTGGGGGGCTCTAGCAAGCATGTCCTTTAATGATTTTCCTTTTTTGTAAGGAAATGATTGGTGGTTCTTTAAAAATTTATTGAAGTTATAATTGGTTTTGTATAAGATTCCATTTTTTCATTCAAGCTTCCTTTATAGTAGACACGGAGGGCTGGTATTGTGTCACGAATGGCAATATTTCTTTTTCCTCTTTTTTGTTTTGTTTTAGGAGTTTAGACTCCCTTTTGAGAATTTTATTTCTGATAGTACCTTTTCTATCAAAGATTGTGGGTAACCTCCGTCCATCAAGAGTTTTTTTTAAAATTTGAATTATTTTCCTTAAAGGTTGTTTGTGAGGGGTTTTTGTAGGATTCTCAAGGCTTCTCCTTTGACAAATCCTTTTTTAACATTTGGAGGGTGACACGAGGTGAAATGTGTGTTCAAGAAGGTTTCCGTTTGTTTAAAATGTGTCTTTGCATCAAGGATAGATTTTTCCTTGAATCTTGTGCCTTTGTATACAAATGTTTCAATAGTTAGGTGATGTAAGTTTGCTTGTTCAATGAAGGCTTCGATGTCTGGTTTACTCATGTCCCATAGGGAAAAGATATCGTGTATGTAGCTGTTGTTCTAAAGACCGTTTTTCTTAGAGTTGTTGTTTCAATATATGTCATGAAAATATTGGCAAAGGAATCAAAACTGCTGTCTTTGTGCCCATTGCAGTTCCATGGTTTTGTAGGCAGTGCTTTTCAATGAAGTGGAAGAAATTTTCTTTGAGGATTAATCCGAGCTTTTCCGGCAAGTAATGTGTAGGAATGGGTTGTCTTTGTAGAAATTTTCATATGCTTTGTGACAGACAATTTCAATATACCCTCGTTTTGCTGTATATTTGTGTCAAGACTCATAGCGTCCATCGAAACAAGAAATGTTCAGTTTTTCACATTCCTCTTTTCAGTGAAAGGTATTATTTCTGTGATTTTTATATTGGTTGTAGCAGTGTATCAACAAATTTTGTCAAGCACAGAACAAGGTTTTATTGGATTATTGAGAGGAAACCAAACATCCATGTTTTAACTAGGGGGTGGATCATGCAATTTCCGACCTTGCTTTAGGGGTAGGTCAGTCATTTTTGTGCCGAAGGGAGGGGGTGGGCCATGTGTTTTTTATCAACCACATTTCCAAATGCTCCGGCCCCCCCCCCCCCCCTATACTTTTTGACCAGTCCCTTATTCAGCGGTTTTGATAATTAAACTTGTGTTCTTATAAGCACCGAAATTGCTTTGATTCGCGCTTTCTTCTTTATCATTGTTAAAGTCAAGACTAGAATTACTAAAAAAAATTAAGGTGCCTCGACCCAGTATTTTTGTACGTACACCTTTCATCTTTGAATCTGCTTATACTTAGTCAAATTGATCTTTACTGTAACACCATTATAACACATGTATAAATACACATATAATAACCTTAATTATCATTCGAAGCAAATCTTTCTTCCTTTTCATTGGCCAAGAGACCACCACCTGCAAATGACTGCCTACCTGGTCTGCTCATGCGCAATGTCGTCCAACTGTGTTTGGCTGCAAATAATATTCTGCTCATGCGTAAAAGAAACCACCCGTTTTTCCTTCTTGTTATCGCTGTTGGGTGAAAATAGCAGCTTCCCGAGGATATTTATCAAAAAACAACCTCGGTGACTGAATGATAAAACAATTATTGAACTCGTTTATCTCAAAATATCGTGATTTGTCAGTGTCTCGCAGATAAATTATTTGCCTCAGCCTTCGGCTTCGGCAAATAGTTGATCTGCTCGCCACTGACAAATCAGATTTCAGTCCTTAGAGGCATTTTCTTTGGAAATGATTTACGCTACGTATACTTTCGGTCCTTGTTTTCTGCTGCGAAAATTTTTTACAAAAATCTACAGGAGGAATTTCGAGGTATCTTGGAATTTCTACAAAAAGGTTATAAATTTGGCATGCGCTGAAGACTGGACATAACGTAGACATATTTGCTACTTTTTGAATGTTTCCGAAGAGTTTTTATCACTCATTCATTTTGCAGTTGACCTTTATACACTCTACAAACGGCTAAACGTGAAAAGACTTGCGCAATTTCGAAAATCGAGAAAACATGTGCAATACAAGCGTTACAATGGCTTCACAATAAAAATAAATTTGTTTAAGTATAAGAGATTCAAAGATAGAAGGTGTCGCTACAAAAATACTTCGGGAAACCTAGCCTGCGAAAACATCCGTTTCTCCTCGCTCTTCGCCGCTGGGGACGTTTCGCGAGGAGGAACGTCTGCGACTCAGCGACAGAAATTCCATACTGATGACGTAAAATCTGTCCGGAATCCGGTCAGAAACGCTGATTGGTCGACGGAGTAGTTACATTGTTTTAGCTATTGTTTACGAATGACAGACAAAAGACAAAAGGCCACAGAGGTCAAATGTAAACGCGAAGAATCTCTAGCAAAACAGTCAATATTTGTGGAATATACTCTTCTCTAGAAGACGTATTTGAGTTTTGCTGGAGCTCGTTGGCAGATGAACACAAAAATTTACCAAAATCGACCAGAAGACACGTAAAATTGGACAAAATTGTATTTGGAACCCCATGTCTACCGGATTTATTATGTAAACATTGATTTGCGTGATCAGTATGGAATTTTTTCCACTGAGTCGCAGACGTTCCTCCGCGCGAAACGTCCCCAGCGGCGAAGAGCGAGGAGAAACGGATGTGTTCGCAGGCTACGGGAAACCAGCTACTTTTGTTTTCCCTCAAGTCTGGATGTTTCGGAATCGGGACTCTCGGGAAAATAAAACTTACTATTTCCCTCGAGAACTGATTTTAAGCGCATATTATTTTACATCACATGAGTATGTATACAAAGGTATCGAGGACCCTTTCAGCTAAGAATCTGGTTAAACACGCGCTAGCTGGGGGTGGGGGTGGGAGTAATTCGTCACTTACCCGTACTTGGTACTCTGAACAGTTCTTGCCAAATTTCAAATAAAACCAAGCTTCGTCATCTTTGATCACGTGACTGGTTATGCAAACTTTCTTGAGCCATGGTAACATATTGTGAACGTCAACGATGATGTCAGATTTTTTGTTAATGACGTCATAAGATATGCGTGCTTCGACCTTCTTCTCTGGTTTTGTGCCCAACAAGTACATTCCTGCTTTCCAAGATTTAAACTCATCATCATAACGTTCACGCCTGCCAAACTGAAACAAGATACACTTTCAGTTGCTCAAGAAATGAAACAAAAGACCTTTCGTGAATTTTGGTTTAAGTCGAGCTGAGATTACAACTAAGTATTCTCAGTCATCTTTTCTCAAGGAAAGATATTAAATGATTTTATCAAAGGGAAAGCAAAGCATGATTGGTTTTGGTCATTTTTTGACAACACAGGAACTTAACTTGAAAAAGTTGGTACAATTTTTTCATTTTTCAACTTGTACTTCTCTTTTTTCGTCCTGGTCATCGAAAGCGAAAAACATGCACTGGTAGTTGAGATATAATATAAAAATAATCTGAACCATTTTTTCAGGGTTTTCTTTGATTCCTACGCGTTTTTAAGTGTTTCAATGTTATACCAAAAAATCGTGACATAGCTCCCTTAACGGATAAGGACAAATTTGTTTCTTGATTGCCATCTTATATTTCAAGCAAGGCTAACACGTCATCTTTTGACTTTGCCTACCAGTCGAGCACATTCAGTTTCGTTTTTAAGATCTCGTTGATTGATAACTGTGAGAAAATACATGCTTATGTAGTTACAAAAAAGCTACTTGCGCCGACAGTGGGAAGGGTAGCGGATAATAGCGGAGCTTTCGCGCGCACTTCCCAGCGGAGCACCATGGGTAATATAATCTGGTTATCTATGCATCCAAGAAATTTTGGTTTGACAAAACCGTCTGTACGTACGTATATCCAGCCCTTAATGATAACGAATGTGAAAAGTCATACTAGCTATGAGTCCAAAGCATATACAATCTGTGTTTAACTTGATATAACAAAGGAGACCTATGTCTGATTGGCTGTTTGACTTTTTTGACAATTTTCTTAAAAAGACATGTACAATTCTTAAAAGATCCCACAAGAGCTTCGCTTTTGGCCTTGGTGATATCTATATATTACTTACTAAATGGACCCAAAAACCTTTACTCTTCCTTGACAAGTGTCTTGGAAAATCTTATCGGTCTTTACAGGTGGCCTTACGTTCCTTCTTCAAAAACTTGAAGCGATTTCTTACACTATCAAGAAAAAGCGTGTCAGGAGAACTTTAATACTCTACCTTAAACTGAATGGCCCTGGCAGGATTTTTGCCTGGCTTTAAGGAGATGTTAAAGTTTGTCGGACCACCGAATGGGAAGACAGGTGGATGAGGTACTGATGGTTGAATGTGTTCGCCACTCAGACACACCTCCATGCCAATGATTTGCTCGCCATAACAAACCTCCTGTTAAAGCAAGAATATTTAACCTTTCCAACACTGACAGTAAAGTAGGTTGAGTTTGATCGTCCGGGTGAACGTAGTCCTGAATAGGACTGTTGTTGTTGCTGTCCTCTTCAGGACTACGTTCACCCGGACGATCAAACTCAACCTACTTTTGAAATGACTCCTGGGTTCAAACCTTTCACAGATTGACAGTAAAATAACTTTATTCACGATACCCGCCATCTTTGCACGCGCCTTAGGATTGATGGGATAAAAGAAATCTCACGTGGTATTTCAGGGGGCAAACAAGTGATAAAATTTGCTAATACGAGTAATCGCGGTAAAATTTGTTGCTTCTTTCAAAACAAGACGCAGATGTTAGTCTAGCAAAATGTATAATGTTCAACTTTCGATAAGTTTTACGTCAGTATTGATTGTTGCGAGGACATCTACGGTCACAACTGCATTCAGAAAAGAAACAATTATGACTTCCATTCATAATTTGCCATTATCGTCCTTGAGGTAAGAAAAAACTTCATTTTCTGTTGTCTAGAATAAACAAACTTGACCGAGGTTTCTTGCATTATAATAATAATAATAATAATAATAATAATAATAATATATTTTAACAGGATAACCATTTCAGTTATAAAAACTGCTTTCAACATGGGTCCTGTATAAAAAAACTATATTTGAAAATGGGATAAAAGTATATACGAAACTGTGATGACATTATGTACAATCATTAAAAAGGGAAGCCCCCTTATAAAACCGGAACCAGGATAGTCCCCCGAGGTACTCCACTTAGGACTGCTAAAGGACCCGAGAGCTCGTTATCCAGGGTGACAGTTTGAAATCTGTTGGATAGATAGCTTGTAAACAAATTAATCGAATTATCTCTAAAGCCGAATCTTTTCAATTTGGATAAGAGTTCCTTGTGTGGGACGGAATCAAAGGCCTTCCTTAGATCTATAAACAGGGCACCCGTGAAATTTGATTGGCATTGGCAGCTTTTATCACTTGTTTGCTCCGTAGAAACCACGTGACACCGCTTTTATCCCACCAGTAGAACACGTGCCGGATGGCGGGTATCGTAAATAAGGTCTATTGCTAGCGTTTTTAAAACAGCTGCCCGCGGAATTTACCTTATCATAGGAATGAAAAACTGGAAATGAAAGACTATGTATCAACATGCCACCTCTTCCTTTCCTTTTTTAGTACGCAGCAAGTGATTTAAAACACGACTCCCTAGATATATTTACTAAACATAATTAGTCACAACCAGTTTTCATTTCTACAGTGGTGTTTGATATCTATAGTACTGGGAGAGGTACACCATAGCAGTAGGCGAGCTAACATCGGTGGGTGAGATGACTTGTTATTGTCTGGCAAAGTCAGAAGGACACTAGTACTCAAACTTGAGCGGAATAGACAAAAAGACAAATTTGTCTCGAGCCTTTCCCCTTGGACACCAACCCATGGTAAACGAAGATGGGTAGACCATGTTAAGACTGGATTACTACCCTCAAAGAGGATAGAGAAATAATTCAGTTCTGGGAAAAGTTTAGGAGAGATTTAGACAATAGCAGAACCTTGAAGAAAATCACTGACCTCGGCAAAAGTACATTCAAACCCTGCTTTAAGAACACCTGATTAATACAAACACTTCATTATTACTGAGAGTTAAGTTTGTCCCCGGGGAAAGAAATCCCTTATATTTTCTGTGAATTCAACCCGCTTAATACCGACACCCCGTTAATACAGACACTTTCTATGAACCCCTCAGTGTCCGTACCAACGGAGTTTAACTGCGAAATAAAGTATTTTGGAAAAAACTATTACGAAGTCCACGCTTTAACTAAATTAAAATGAAAAACAAAACAATATTAAGTCCGATAGTGCACACTTACGCTGGTATTTGTGTGATGTCGTTTAACAGTAAACACAGTTTCGTCAGTCTTGTTAGGCCTCAAACAAACTTTTCCTTCCACTGGAGTGATAAAGACAAGCTTCATGTGTCGAGGATGGAACCCGTCCAGACCGCTGGGAATATCATCACTTAGATATCTCCACTTTTCTTCATATCCTGTTTCAGGTTTCATGTCTTCGATCAGGTGCTTGAATAACACCACCTTATCTGTGTTCATAGGCGCCGTGGTTTTTGTCCATTCTATTGGCGTCTTGGATTTGTCTGTAGGATGAATGAACACAACTGTGGCCAGTCGTACGTGGCGGGTACCTTTCACTGGGGATATCTTGAATAGCTTTGGATAACGCCTGTCCTTCACAGTCTCAAGGCAGCCTTTGGAATCGGGTTTAACCTGAAGATTAAAAAAGTAGTCAGCCAGGTTTACACTATCGAATGACGAAGAAACTGAAGGGAAAAACCTGTTTTCTGATCAGTTTAATATGAAATTCCAGTACAGAAGTTGAGGAAAAGAAAAACCACGCAATCTTTAGTTCTTTCTGTCTCCGCTTTCGATCATTCCCTCATCTCCGTTTCTGTAACGATCTAGTCGCCTTTGCATCTACTTCCCTCACCGTTGTAAACTTAGGTTTAACACAGAAAGCCTTGGGGGTGATGTCATGGTCATCACAGCAAGTGACTGCTAAACTAATCCCAGTCGCTTCTCAAGGGAAGCAATTCAAATCATGAAATAATAAGAGAAGGACGATGTATATACAGCTAACACTAGCCTTCAGCAAGAGTCCCAGGCGAATATGAATGACTATTACAACACTAGCCCTGCGACCTTTACACAAATGTCATTTCCCAGAAAAATTAAAGGTAAGCAGCTCATTAAGACTGACGGACGAAGAAGGCATTGTTTTATTTACAATGTTACAGTCCCAAAGGCACCAATAACACAACCGAAATACGAACAAAGGCTAGCTTCATTCTTCAGTACTAGCAGCTCATATGAATGAAATTCTACTTAAGGCTTTTCTTGCCTCAAAAGACAACGTGTTTTATCTTTTCTCAACTTTAAAACGGTTGGATAAAGAATTTTAATCCTTATTCGTTTTATTTACCCACCTACAAAGAAACGGGCAATAATACCTTTACAAATCCTTTTCCGGAAACGTAAAGCTTGACAAAGGCACGGCTCCTGCCGACGAAGAAGACTTTGAAGATGGTGGGCTGATCACTCAAAATAAGTTCGTTTTGTTCATTCACTGATAAATATTTTCCACTTGCTGCTTTCAAGGTCCAGTTAGCATAGCGATGGTGACCAGGATCATGTCTCCTTCCGATCTACAATCAAAGAAAACAAATAAACGAAATAGTGAAAGTTTCAATAGGTAAAAAAAACCGCTTCGTCCTTGCCCGATATATTACTAATGGTGTATATCTAAAATAAAAAAAGGGGTTGGTTAAGTTCCTTTTCTTCATGAAATTCTCTGTAGACGGACGCCTTTACCCGCCGAAATATCGGAAAAATTCGATTGCCTTTTCTGTTTTGTTGTAATTCATTTTTCATGTCGGGTTGGGGGATTTAAATGATAAGACTCTGCACTTAACACGCGGCCCTCGCCTAAACATTTTGGCAGCTCTCCATCAGTATATCGTTCCTGGTAGTTAAAATTTGTATAGTCAATGAAATCAAGTCGGCCCATTAAAAGCAATATAATATCGTTTTTCTCGTTCATGGCGCTTATTTTGACCAAGCGAAAGTAATCCACATTTTATTATATTCACAAATTCCAATATCAAAATTCATACTTAGCTCCGAGGCTTGGGGGAATAAAACAAAAAAAAATGTATGATTCATTATTAAGCCTCAAGACGATTTCTTTTGTTTTATTCCCCCAAGCCTTGGAGCCAAGTATGAATTTTAATATATCGGAATTGGTCTATTGAAATTTGCTATGTACAGTACCTGAGCCACTTCACCGATTTCAAATCCATCCAGTTTTGTGCTTCTGTACAGTGACTGCCAATCCTTTGATCCCTTGACCGGTTTGGTGTACATCAAGAAAGTGTAGCCTTGTTTGCTATCGTAAAAGAGTGTGAGGTTAATATGCATGTTAATAATAGTAACTGTATGTACTATATGAGTGAAAAATTGAAAAAAGAAGAAATGCAATAAACGAAGAAGTTATAGGGTTAGTGTCTATGGAATGGTCAAAAGCATTTGATAATCTACCGTACCAATGACTCATTTTGAAACAGAAGCAATATAGAGCAAATGTAGGGGCAAGATAGAGGATTATCTATCAAACCGGAATTATAGAGTAAGTGTAAGTCTGAATAATAGATATTCAAACTGCCAAGTATCATTAATAATGTCCTTAAGGGGTCCATCTTGGGTCCACTGCTATTTAACATCTTTATCAACGATCTATACAGCCTTTTCCAGGCTCCAAAATAAAGTGGAAAGCAGATCGAGAAAAGTTGGGAGAAAACCGCGTGGGGGTTTAAGAGACACGGAGTAGGGCCTGAGCCCGTAAGCATTGTTTTCAATACCTCATTCCGGTTATCCACCTCCTGGTATACCCAGCGATGATTAGTCAATTGTGACAAATTACTTCAACATTTATACGTTAATTATTTGGCTTCGCGCGCGCAGAGTCAAGCAAATATGTCGAGCAAGTGAAACCCTCCTACACAGCACCATTTGACATATGCACTTGACAATTTTACACGACAAACGGTTTTTCAGGAAGTGGGTGGGGGGGGGGGGGGGGGGGGGTAGTGGGTGGACTGTGGTATTTGAAAAGATGCTTACAGCCTCTCACATTCTCTCTTCGCGCCATTTTTCGCTCGATCGCTAATTCATTGCTCGCTCATTTTCTTCGCTCGTCCTCACTGACCGAGAGCTTGACACAAGCTACGATCTCCTGTATTCAATCCATCACAGCACATTGTGTCCACCTACGCTGATGATAAGCAAATTTCCGAGGCAGACAGAGACATCACCACAGTCAAGGAACTTATTAACGCTGACTTCCCTGTTGCTGATAACTGACTTGACCACAATGGAATCAAGAGAAAAAGTTACAATTCATCTTTCGAAAAATAAGGACTCCTCGGTTAACAACTGACGATTTAAGTTTGAAATCCAGGTTAGCAAAATTAATACGAATGTAAGTCAAGAAATTGTTTTACTTCAACGAATGCAGAAACTGTTGCTTTTTGAACTAGGAGAGATATCTGTAAAGTTCACATATCGCCGCATTTTGGGGTTTGTTCGGATACGTGGCACCGGCTTTTGCAGTGAGCAAGCAGCCGTTTCTGCACTGACCCTGCCGCACGCAAGAAGATACTCTTGGTACCCAAGGTACCTCCTGACCAGTTCACGCCTGTTTTGTCGTAATGAAGCCGAAGAGATTTAAAACAAATCGAATCTTGTCCCAACGACTGTCGGGTTTGATTTTTAGGACCCGATTGCTGTCGCAGGCATCAGGTCTGTTAGAGTTACATCATCCAAATGGTCCGTGCTAAAGAACATTCCATTATTACTTACTCTGTTGATAAAATCTGCTGTTGGTGCTGTGGTAGATCTATCTCTGTAGTGTAACTGTGATCTTTGATTTTACACTGCAGTCTGCCGGACACACCAGTTGTGACATTGACGTTAAGCTTCATCTTACTTCCTGTTTCCAGTTGAGGAAGGCAGATCTTCATTTTGCCCCAGGTGGAGTGGAGAATACTGCATAGGGCAATAATAAGCAAATATCAACAAAACACTATTTCCACTGATGTTTTATAATCAGTCAATCAATAAAAGACTACTGGAGAACAAGGCGCTTAGTCAGTGTGAGCGTGGCGCAGTGGTGATAGCCATCACATCACGCCAATAGGGAGATTACAACGACCACAGCTACGAAAATCTGACTTAAAAAGTGAATTCGCACTGCTTTAAACTTTATCGTAGATATTCCATCTCGTTTGACTCGTCAAATGTTGGCGAATTTTTCTGAAGTTGAATTCTAAACGACTGTATCGAAGTTCAAAAAAAGAAGAAGAAAGTCGTTGTCTTGTGTTCACGTCCTCTACAAAACGTAAAATTAGGAAGTTTCACGTCGTAGTCGTGCAACGGCGGCAAAGAAAGGTACAAAAAAACGTGATGCACGTGTAAAGTTGTTGTTTTGCGAATCTAAACGGATCGTTTTTTTTTTTGCTGTTCTTGTTGCCGTCGTCGTCGTTGTTGCTTTAACTCCCTAATGTCACCCAGGGGCGGATCCAGGATTTATTTTAGGAGGGGGTGCACTCGTCTCTTGCTCTACTTCAACAACAATAAACCACATAGTTTTTTTTTGCAGAATACCAGTTGTATTAGAAAACCGCAGGTCATCTCGGGGGGGAGGGGGACGCACCCCCTGCACCCTCCCCCTAGATCCGCCCCTGTGACCCAGGTTCGATTCCTGACCTTAACGAGAAACAACAGTGTTGGCTATCTTTTCTCCTTTCTTCTCAAAAAACAACAATTCCAAACTCTAATTCGATCCAATTTTGCGGATGTACGACCAGTGAATCCTTATTTGAATATTCTATTTATGTAGATTCTCACCTGACGTTAATTTTGCCGTTTAGCGTCAGTTGATCAGGAAGGGGAAAGAAGAACTTGGGTTCCACTTCAGCTTTGATTGTAGTGTTCAAGCGAATGAATAATACACTTTGCAGAGTGAACTTAAGAGGAATACCCATACAAGACGGCTGAACAACCTTAATCTCCACTGGAATCATCACTTTTGTCAAATTCATTTTTTTGCCTGAAGGAAAGAACGAAATACTCTATAACAGTTCACTTTACAGTTGGGTGCTCAGTTCCCTGGCCTTAGAATAGAAGCGAGGCTGAAGGTGACCTTGTCAAGTTACAAACTTGCCTGTTTCTCACATGTAAATGATCATGTTCACGTGCTTGTTAGCATGAGAATAACACCAGTTGCACATGACCAGGAAGAGTTGTAACAAATAAAGGTGACCTCCAGCCTTACTTCTATTCAAAGGCCAGGACATTGAGCACACTTTATTGTAAAAAGGCCCATTACAACAGACAATAATGAGGAGAACGTAGACTACCCAAGAAACCATAAACGCCCTCTCTAGCTTGCTGTCATGTGACCTGTTTAATGAAAAATTACGGGATACAACTTGAACGATACCAGAGATGGAAAGAGACAGTGCAAGACTTAAACATATTGGCCGTCATCCTCATCAATTCCTTTTTCCTAAGCGGGGAGCAGACCAGGGCACACTGTCAACAAAATTTACTGCCCTAGCATGCCATTCACAGTGTTACTTGGTTCGCGCATAATTTGTCACCTTTCTTTAGGATGTCCTTCAGATTGTTATCAACCCTGATAACACCATCCTCGATCAATTCTTTAACATCTTCATAAGTGAAATAGTTGTACATCAATTCTTTTCCCAAGACTTTGAAGTAGAATGAACCTTTAGTCTTCTCTCCTTCCAATTCCGTGATGGGTAGCTGTTTTCGAGTAGGAAAGAAAAAACAGTTTTTTTAGGATGCTTAAGTTCATATCGTTTAGTAACGGAGACTTCTCAAAGTCATTAATAGTTCATAAAGAAAATACAAAGGAAATTAATGTTTAATAAGTGTTTGGAAATCGGATGAAAGACTGCTCATTTTTGCATTTAAATTTCTCCTTCTAAAATCCTTTTGTTTGAGAAGTAATATCAAGCATTCGATACAGCGTTTTATCACCAGATGAAACACTGCGTCTCATGCTTGATATATTATATGACAGATATAGTTATGGTAATAACCTGCCCTGGTGGTTGCCAATGAAACGAAGGGGATGAATTAATCGAAAATGCGATAACTACACCGAGTGAATTAGTTTGTAACGGATGAAATAACCTCTTCCTCGACCAAAAGACGAGAAACTGAGCAAGAACAGAGCAATCGCCACAGCAAAGCAACTTTTCTACTGCGAATAAGCAGATCATGATTTTCTGTACGCAGTTTTCTGCAAGTCACGTAATAATCTTTAGACAATGTCCGCAAAAAAAGTTGTTTGAATGACCATAATTATTATGCAGAAAGCTAAACCAAGAATAGAAGTTCTTCGTCACATCTTTGAGCGTGATCATTCACCTAAACTCTCTTAATGACAGTTTAGGTATGGAAAAATTGCATGAATTTTTATAAAAGAGCGCTGTTACCATTTTCTTTATTTCGCGGATCTCCTTGTCAAATAATTTGTTCTTTCCGCTGTAATGTCCTTTCGGTCCAACCAAACGCTTGACAAGTTCTTGAATCCCTTCACCTCTCACACCAGTCTTGCAATGAAAATAAAAGCAGTTCAGTGATAATGTTTGAGGAATATGGAGAAACTCAATTAACTGTATGTGCATATGCTTATGGCTGAAACCTCGGACAAAACTTGTTCAGACACATCGCAAAAATACCTTTTTTCCTTGTCATCCTGGCAAAAATGGAAACCGCCGCCACATAAATGCTCGTTTCCCCCTCCTGTTATTCCAGTGATGTGAGGGATAACACGAGAGTTATGCAGACGTTGGCTTTGAGACCAAAGCAACTTTGAATTGGGGGTGGGGAGGGTTCTTACTAGTTTTTCTCCTTAGAGACAATGGTAGTATGCGCAAAAGTTAGGAAACAGATGGAACTGTCTCAACACTTTTGCCCGAGGTTTGTGCTTTAAGCGGCTTTTAGTTTGTAGTACTGCAGCTGTTTTTTGGGGGGATGCCTTCTTTTGCCTTGGTCATTCAAGATGAGTCAACGCTGTATGACACCGTTTCTTTGATATAAATTCAGATGTAATCAAATAATTAAGTACCTAAGATTCCTGCTAGTCATTACAACTAAGTCAAAAGCTGCCTTAGAGAACATGAAAATAGTTGGATTTTAAAATTACTTATGCCTGCACCATTTTTCACAACTATAGATCACCTGCTATTATTTCTGTAAAACACCTAACAAAAACGATCCGAACAAAGTAAAGATTATTGCAGAAATTTTTTTCCGCAAATGGTCCTTTATGCACCAAAATTGACGCAAGAATGTTGATGAACCTAACAATCAACACTTAATTGTAAATTACCTCAAACAAATTAAGTGACTTTCCAAGGATGTGCAGATTGACTTTAGAGTTAATGGCACGTGGAATAAAGCTTGATGGCGTAGAAACCATTTGGAAATCAAAACTACCACCCAGCTGAAGAGGCTCTAAAAAGATGTATGATAAAATAAAATTAGTTTATTGTAGTCAATTTGCTTTTAGGTTTTCCTTTAGGTGATAAAACACTGCCAGTCTATAATTTGAACGAACGAGTGAAAACTTTATTTAAGCGTCTATGTTTTTAGCTATAAGCTAATGGGTGGCACTGTAAAATAATGAGTTAAATGCCAGATACAAATCACTAAACAATAAAAATAAAAATGCGTGTAGATTATATAATACAAAATTTATTTAAAAGCCTAAAAACGTCTAAATATTTACAAGAGTTGAAAGGTCAACTTTCCTAATGTTCCTCTTAAACGGGTTCAGAGTTACTATGTAATCATTCTTAAAGAGGCTGTGTCACATCAGTCCCGTTCATTTTGGTTAATTTTGCCAATTACTGGCCCTCAATCGCTATGCAACTTGAAGTAAGCAAAGAAATTACAGATAAATGACATTATCAGAGATCCGAGACAAACAGATATGTCTCCTGAGCATTATTTTTGAAGTTGCAAGTAGCAGGGATCAAGTTTGAAAAACTATTAGGCTGAACAGTTTTCAAAAACCCTAATTTCAATCCGTTTCAATCTTCTTCAGTTTTGCCCATCCGTGGCATGTTGTTTCTGTTATGTTATTTTAACCTTCCTTCAAAGTTTTAAGCGGTTATGTTATGTTTCTCTTAATTTAACGGGCATTTTGTAATTTGCTAATTTGGCTGAATTTCATGACACAGCTACTTTAAGTGTCTTGGCAACTTCGACCAAATGAGAGGTCCCATATATTTTAGTGAATTCCTACCAAATCTAACAGTTTCGAATCTTGGTGGTTCGAAGTCACTATTCCGTAACTTATACTGAGTGTTCTTTATATTGAATAAATCAGAAATATTCACGGGTACGGGACTGTGCTTAACTTTAAACATCGACGAGGCAATGTCTTGTAGACGCCGATTGTACAACGTCGGTAGTTTGGCGCGGTCTAGCAGTTCTTGATAGGAAGCTGATCTGGTTTTGTACGTCGCTCTTAGCGCTCGCTCCTGAATCCGCTCGAGCTTTCTCCGATCCGATGTATTACAAAAGTGCCAGACTAGATAACAGTAGGTTAGGTGGAGCAGAATTGAAGACTTGTAAAGTGATAATTTAGCCGCACTAGGACCCCTACAGTTTTTCAGTTTTTCATCGATTTGAACTCCTAAAAGCTTTATTTCCCCCATTCTCTCAATAGCATGTCCATCTACGGATATATCTGTCTGTGTCCGCCAACATTTCTCGGGTTGATTGTAAGTAGCCGAAACTTTTCTGGGTTGGCATAGTGAATATTACTGCCACAGAAAAGATATGGGTTTTGGTTTCCTGTAGAACCAAGAAATCTCTTTGCTGGTGGACTGGAATATTTAAAAAATTTCATTGTCTCTGATCTCCTCACCGGAATATTCTCCCAAGTGCAGCCATTTTGAAGAGTGGAAATCAATCTTGCCAACTCGAAGCCTCTGAAGAGCAAACCTTGTTCGGAGCATCTTGAGAGCAAACCTCGCCGTTTTAGCCCTAAAATAAATTGTTCCACAAAGTTAGATACAGTATAACAAGTATAACAAGAGAGAATATCTACCTAACTATTTTTTGAGAAAAAAAAACACCAACATCAACATTTCGTTTTGATGCGAGAGTTCAGTGCATACTTCCAAACACATTATGTACATGCACGTGTATTTATCTTTATTTTGTAAACTGTAACTGTTTATACAACTATGTTATTGACTTCCTCTACGTTAAGTAAGTATTTCAATTAATGACACGAATTTTCAACCTTCTGTTCACGTCCTTTCCTACATAATTCTAAATAAAATGAACCGGTTACGTTTTTTAAAAACCTTTATTTTTTTCACAGTATGACAATTTCTCATTAGGGATTGCTTTTTTACATCCACGGCAGCCTAGGAAACAAACTTACATCTTTTCGTCACAAGGATATCTGGACTTAGTCATTCCCCTGATGTAAGAAACCACGAATGATCGCACGTGGTTGGTGCGTTCATAATAAAGATGCTTGACAATCATGTTGAATACCGCTGGACCGGGCTTGGTATCACAAATAACAACAAAACATGCCATGCGCAGTTCACCATCGGTGTCTACTTGACGGAATATCTGTAGCAGCACTGGCAATACCTGCAGCAAGATAGTGGACTGACGCAATTAAAACCTGTCAAGTGAACTTACAATACCATCCATAGCAAAGTACACATGTAACTAAGTTGTTAGAGCACCTACAGTAAAAAACTGATAGAACGGAAACCATTGTAGCCTGAGATGATTCCTTCTCAAATACCTCTATACAAATACATACAATTACATAAATTGCGTATACATAACTGCGAAGATCATTGCCTCTTTAAGAACCTATCTTAGATGGTAATAATGTTATGTGAAGTGGGTGACATAGCAGATAATGAATTCCCCTTAAAATGGAAATTTTTGCTTTGAGTGGAAACTTTTTTTCACTTTTGCTCTTAATTCAACTTCCCAAGGTTATAAAGAGACGAAAAAAAAGTTTTGGAAAGAGAGTGACCAACCTTTTGTGGTATTTGTGGTGCTATTCTTCTCAAGGCATACACTGCTGACACCCGCAACTCAAGCTTGTTGTTGTTATCCTGGATGATATCTAGAAGAGGCTGGTCAAGAGTTTTGTGACCAAAATTACCCATGGTCTTAACAATGATGATCTTCTCCTGGTAATCAGCAATCCGCAAACGATTCTTTAGCTCCTGTAAGCAAACAAACTTACAGATTAGCGACAGCTTGTTTGCATTTATAACATCGATAAATAAAAGCGTTTGGACCTCCACTATTTGCTAATATTTGAGCCAACCCACAATTCTATCAATCATCAATGTATTGAAACTATTGAAGTGAACCTTAGTCACTAGTTAAATAAGAAAGCTCGCTGATTTCATTAACCTCGAAGCAGCCAATAATCAATGAGAGTCCCAGGTAGATTTTAAAGATCCGGGATTTGCCATGTTTGGACGTCGGGATGCGGGATTTTAGTCGGAATGCGCGATTTGGCGATTTTCATAGTACGCAGGATTCGGGAAATTTTATTTACAAGAACTAATTTACGGTAAGGGAACTCTTCAGCTACATATTTTCTAAAATGTTAAAAATATCCCCTCATTTTGATTTGACAGAAAATGCGGCGTTTCATCCAACCTGTCCCCCTTTTATAATCCACTATTTACCACCGGTTCTCCTTAGAAGAGTGAATGTAAATTTTTTTAGGCGAGAAGAAAAGGACGCTGAGGACTCTAGCATTATAAGAACAAAAGTTAAACTTACAAGTGCTATGTCATGAAGCAATTTTGGGCTTTTGGCGATTTTGCTGTGTTCATACAACAGGGCACCCAGGGTCAAGTAGCAGGTCTTCTTCAGAGCTTCATTTTCTTGTACATCAGAATGAAAACAAACATTCTTGAAAACAAAAACACACAAATTTATGAGATTAGTTCTATTGTGAACATAACTTTAAACCAACATTTTTTAATAATAGGCCATCAATATATTAATTTCCCCTTTATGACTAGCTGCCAGTCTGAATGAGTTCAAGGTCAATAAAATCATGCTTAACTGACAGAAAACCAATTTTATTGCAGCTTAACTTATTCACCCCTAAAAAATTTAATTAATTGCAAAACAATGCAATTAGAGTCTTTAGTCAGCTATTTTCTGGTTACTGTATGGCCAACACTTCATTCTAGGCCTATATCACTCTCCTGTGTTTTGTTACAGTCCTTGATGCTAAATTGCTGCTTCAAGGCTCTTTTTTCCCGGGGCTTTTTTACTGAATTACGCGTGTTTGCGTAAAGTTGGCAAGATCTCTTTCTCCTGCACAAATTAGGTGATAACATTGTCACCGTTCGAGCTGATCATATCACATATGACACGAGCTACTTGGTTCCATAAGGGCTGCAGTCACATGGGATTTTGGGGCAAATTACACTTACATGTACCTCAGTGAAGTTCTAAATAACATCTACGATATTCCAGTATTTTAATATCAAACAAGCAAGACTAACTGTGCGTCAGTACATTAAAAATCGAATAAAATGGTGTAACATTGAATCAATCTTATGTCGCTGCCATATGGAACAATACCACTTACTGATATGTCACGGCACATCGGTTCAGTTGGATTTGTAGTCAAGGCTAAACCACGAAGCACTGGAACTGCCTCATTCACTTTCAGGTCTTTTGATAAAATCTTTTCTTTAATAAGTTTGAAAACTTCCTGTTTGTAGACAAATGGCAGGGCCTCTAACAGCCATGGCCTAATAAATTTTAAAAAAAGCTGTTAAGTACATATGTAAATACAGTACAACAAAGACAAGTTGTTTCTATTTCAACATACACATAAGATTACGTTCACACGGCACTGGACGAATTTTTAACCACTGGAAAATGCGCGTTTAGGTATTCCGTTTAAAGGGAACCACCCAACCCATACGAAAATTTAGACACCTAGCCATTTACAAATTTGAACACCAAAGTCGAAGTCAAATTTTAGGTGGTACGGTCGAAAATTTGATCAGCGAGGTGTGAACACCATCATAACCCTCTAAATTTCGACCTACAAAGGCGCGGTTGCATGAATGCGTGGTTACTCAGCTGATAAACGCCATTGTGCTTAATGAATTTGCAGTGGATTTGCTAAAATAGCACTCTGAGCATGGGCAGATGGTAAAATCACGGAGAGTTATATAAAACACAACCTGGTTTGTCAGCTTTGTGTGAACACGGCGAAAATATTAAACATTTCACAGTGACAAACTGTCATGTCAAATTTTTCAGCCACTCAAAAATTCATCCAGCACCATGCAGTCATAAGTCTCTCGGCCTCATTATTCTGAGCGGCGGCCAAAGCATTTCGGGTCACTTGGTCCAAGCGAAAACGTGCCTCGGATACGTCACCGAAGTGAATTGACTGAGAGGGACTGGGAAAACGCCGTATAAGGACTAGGCAAGGGTTTTAGCATTTGTTCATTAGAAAGTTAACCCACTATGCAGTGGCTATGGCAACATTACACCTCGTCCAGAATGCTTCTAATACATGCCGTTTTTTTTCAAAGATGCATTTACATGTAAGATGCTTGAAAATATTTAATAGTGGCACCTACAAAAGAGAGCAAACTCTCGGTTGCAAAGCCAGGAAGGGATATGCTCTGGGCTAAACAGGAGGAGCTTTATTGATTAAGATAACATAAAATGAAACGGTAATAAATCCTTTAATTTTTTTGACGTCACAAATAGCTCTGCAAAAACACTCTTAAGTGCAATAATACCAAGTGAACAAGGTGGAGAGGTGAAACAGAGATGTGAACACAAGTTCAGCCAACTGTAGACTTCAAAAAACTGAATAATACTGTACAATTCAACATTAAGGTTTACTATTATAGACAATTCACACAAGGAAAAAGAGAAGTGTGTAAATTTTCTTTGATGAATTTACACAAAAAAGATATGTGCAATTAAAACAAGAGCTTGTATTAATACGAGTACCTGCGCTGTTCATCACTGGAGCAGTGATCCCAGATTTGGGACAGTGTATCTTCATCAGCTTTACGTAACAGTTCAACTAAAGATGTGAATATGTATGCCTTCCAGTCCTTCTTTTCAACACTCTTAATCAGTAAATCAATCATCTTCAAAGTCTGTAGTGAAGAAAAAACAAAAGGATTAAAAAGCAATATGACACATCTGTCCATTGTTTATAATGACAATGTTTGGACTACAAGAATTCCTTATGTTGGTTGGGTTATTTTAATTATTTAATAACTTATTTATTTACTTATTGATTTGTAAAGTTATTTATCTATGTATTCCATTGAGAATGTTTGAGTTTTTACTGTATTTCTATTAAACCATAAAATTTTCATCCCAAAGTATCTCCATGACGCTCTCGTAGATTTTACTTAAACTTCACGAACATCGAGACAGCTATTGAAGGAAAAAGCGCCCCTGAACGGTTTTGGAAGAAAAGTTCTCAATACCAAGAAATATAGGTGCAAGTAAAAAGGTAATGGGATCATTATGTTGCTGCGAAAACTCCAATGTCACTGTAACCCTGAACGTAATACAGCTGAGGTGGTAGTTTGTCCAAATCCTTGTTTAATAATGGCCTGACACAATTCATGCTCCAACGTGGGAGGTTGACCCTCAAAAACCCAGTCGAGCCACCTTAAAGTTTTTCTTACTAACAAAAAAAAATAATAATAATAATAATAATCACAATGGTGTTAGTAAAGGTGCCCTTCAGGGCTGAAGTTAAGTTTTAATGTAGAATTGATGTATTTAAACAAAATACATGTATTAGTTAATGGCCAATACTAATATCTGGTCACCTTTGTGACAAACTCAGTCTTCTGCTTTTCTGTGAGCACTGTATGATCATCATAACCTGTCATCTCCAGTGTGCGAGGATTGGCAGTAGGAATTGAATCTTTAAATAAAAACAAATGACGATTAGAGAAGCAAGTGAAAGAAGAAACAGATATCATGGTAGCAGTAAAAACACTGTCTTGCCGATTAATGAACAGATACCAAAAAATAAAATGACTAAAAGAGGGCAAAATACTGTAAGCTTTAATAATTACAGTATTCATTCTATAGAATAATAATTATTAATTATCAATAATAATATTATTATTCTATAGAATGCATTAAATGGCACTATAACTAAGTTCTGCTTTTGCCTATTAATTTTATCAAAGTAACACATGCTAAATTAAAACAGACCAGGATTTGAGGCTTTTAAAAGTGGCTTTCTAACCCCTCTACAGCACAGCCTTAAAACTCAAACTTTTTTACAGTCTTTTTACAGTTAAACATCCATTAACTGGCCACCTATTAAGCAGCGAGTAACAAAAGTCCCAAAATAATTGTAGCATTAAGAATGGTAAATTGAACCTCATTAAAGCAGCCACTATTAAGTGGTCATAGCCACCTTTTCGCCATCCCAGTAAGGGTTCTTCCATTGTTGACACCTCTAGCCACCATCAAGGGTGTGATACTCTAGTTTGGCTACATTTCAAGAATATGACGAAGGAATATACAGTCCTAGCTCCAGTCTCGGGCTTGTTTCAAAATAGACTGAAGTTTCTTAAAATATGCTCATTTCTGATGAACTTTTATTCAGCGGCAAACCTCTATTAAGCAGCCACTTGTCAATACCCTGAGGATGGCCATTTGACGGTAATAAAGGTTCCACCGTACTTACATTGTTCAAGTCCAGCCTTAACTTCCTTAAACTTCAAGTTTTGTCTAAAGAGGAAAAATACAATTGTAACTAACATAAAACAAATTTGGTTAAAGTTTAAATGTATAGCATCTAAAAATGAACACTGCTGAATTTCAGTCTGCACCGAAACAAACAATAATAATATATAATTTATTCTTGTTAATTCAATAATAATATTAAAGATGATTATTTAACTATTCTGGAGGAAATGTAATTTAAACTGCATGAATAAAAGACTATGATTGGCAAGGAATTAATGCATGAAACAAGTCATCAACATGCAGTTTTACACACTAACAGTAACAGCAGGTGCTCAAAGGAGTACAGTGACTAGAGAGTCTGCATGCAACGTTTTAACAACTAGGGTCAATGTCAACCGCCTGCAGTAGCCCACACATCCCCTATAACACTAGTGAAGTCATCACTTTTTAAATCAATAACCGAAATGCACATTTTGATACTCTACTAGCACACAGACCTGCACAGTGGGGATAGGCACAAAAGGAGGTTGGGTTCCCTGTGAGGTACTGGGTCCCCGTTCTTTCCCACAAACCAAGTTGCAAGAAGAGGTTATGCTATGTCCGACAAGAGGCTGTGAGACAGGGCCTATGATTATTCTCATCTGAGATGACTAGGATGTCTGTTAAGTAACCATTTGAAGATGTAAAAGAAAGGCAGCACATTCTACCAAACTACTGTATTATATTTTAAAGACCTTGAGATTTGCTCCAGCTTAGAACTAAACCTGAACCTGCTGCTATGAAGTATGATACTCAAGACAGCCAAATCAGCTTAAACCAGCTGGCTAAATTGTAGTTAACATTCATGAATATACACCATTCAGTCAAACAATCAGGCTGGAAATTAACAGCCAAAAATTATAAAAAAAAACCAGGTAACTTTACCCGGAAAGTTCAAAATAAAAGGTAACAAATTTGAGAAAATAAAATAATGTGAGAATGGCTTGACCAGCTTCAAATTTTAAGCAAAAATCTCCAAAGAGCAAATTGGTTAATGTTATAAATTATAAAAAGAGCCATAGCAGTTATGTATTTGTTTAGTGTAAATAATCCTCGAAACATTTTGTACCTAAAGGAATAAATCTGTGGCATAAACAATGAATTACATACTTAACGGTGGTAACTGCAGTGCCTTTCATTTGGTTTGGTGCAAAGATGTACTCTCCAGTTGTTTCACAGGTCTTAACCACAAATTTGCTCTCTTGTCCCAAAATATTGCATGATGATGATATAGAGATCTTCAAAGGCTGCAAAAATACAAGTTCAAGAAGGATGTAGCCATAAAGTTATTCCAGTTTTCTTTTTCCCTGATCTACTATTATCAGCTGTAAAGTTAAATTTGAAACCACCTATATATGCCTCTTCTATGAAAAGTTTAATTTTTAATATTATCTTTGACACCCTACACCCAACCAAAAACACTCCAGGCTAGTTTTAGTTACTCTCTTAGTAAACATTTTGTCTTCCAATCTTACTTATATATGAATGTATCATGAAATCGAATAAACAAGGTAACTCATTTCCTTATTTCAATGTTTTAATTTAGGAGTACAAAATAGAAGACTTTCCTGTAGAGCGTCAATCCCTATCCACTGACACCCAAAAAATGTGAACAGCTAATTGGACTTTTTTATAATTTATAATGTATACAACATAATAGCAGCATGACCTCCAAGTAATTTCTTTCTCCTAACTTCTTACAATAAGTGATTAAAGGTGAAAGATTAACAAAGCTACACATGTATATTTTTTGAGAGACGTTACAGATGAATCTACATTTGCTCCACACAGTTGCTTCAAAACTTAATTGACAATCCCATTTACTGGAACCTGGGACAAAAGATCACCTTACTGGATAAACTCTGAAGTAATATAAACTTGTAAGTTCTTTACAAGTTTAGAAAGTTCAATTTTGTTGTGTTTCTGAGCCACTGGCAAAGCAAAATAAAATACAGAACTCAAGTCCACCTGAACACAGAGACAAGTTTCCATATGATCTAAGTGACTGAATAACCTTAAATTATAAATGGCTTACCTCCTCCACCCTGTCGCAGCTCTTGCTGAGGCAGCGGACGCCTGGAATGTTAGAGAACACGTGTGGTTTTCCTGTACAGTTGTTAAGGTTTAAGGTCTTGCTGAGCTTCATCGCTTGGGTCTTGTGAGTTTCTTGCGAAAATTGGTACTCAACATCATACAAGTTTTCACATAGTCCATGTGCGCCATACTGTATCCGTGAAAACAATAATGTTTTAACATATTATTTACACATACATCTACACTTTTTAAAACTAGTTTGCTAGGAAATAAATTCAGGAACTACTAATCCTAGGATTCACAGGAAATTTTTTAAAGTTGTTACATCATTTTGTTGTTGCATTATAGATTATCTTTCCCAGAAGTTGTGGATGGGTTTATCATGAACACAATATTCTAGTTATTCTTATGATGGCGAGGGAAATTGCTTCATTGATCTATTATAGGCCTAGCAATATTTCTTAAACAGGTAATGCCTTTGTTTTCAAAGTCTTAAAACAATAACAAAATAGCAGACTGTAAATTTTGGCTTTTTAATTCATGCAAGGTTTACAGTATACTGCCAGACATCTTAAATATAGCATATTCTTGTCTTACATGTAAGATAAATTTTGTTAAAGAACAAAGTAGCTCTTTACCTCCCAATTCTTGTACATCCTCGGATCATACTTATCAGCAGGGTCAGGCTTGGTGAAGTTGTGATGAAACATTGCCAGGATGCCACGTTTGATGTTAAGAATGTATTCTGGTTCATTCTCCTTGCAATAAATCTTTCCAACCTTTCCTGCCTTGAAATCAAATTTGATTGGTTCTTCAAGCAATGGAGTAAGGTCAGCAGAAACTGGAGAGATCTTCAGGGAATCAAAACTGCAAGATGTCCCATTGACTTCGTACAATAGAGGCTTTTTGATCTGTCAGCAAAAGGCAGAAACAGAAATCTGAGAAATGATAACACATTAAGTCAACCTGTGTTATGTGCACACTCCTCCGAAACACATTAGTGCCCACTGAAATATCAGGGCTAGCAACTCTCGTATTTCTAGTATAGGACAGGAAGGTCACTACTACTTCCGAACATGGTTTATTGAACAGTTAAAAAAGCAATGGTACTAATGACCACTTGCAAAAAAAATGTCATCCCCTTACAGGACTTAAATAAAGATGTACATAAGCTTAACTATAATGGTTGATCAACCAAAAAAAACTAGAAAATTATGCTTAAGTATAAGTTACGGTTTCAACTAAGAGCCGCAGAAGAATGATAGTCACTTTTGCCAATTTTTTCAATTTTCGGAATATAGATATACTTTTCTAGTCTTTCTTTTTTTGTCTTGCACCTGTTTGATTTAACCCTTTCACTGCCAAATTTAGGCAAAAGCAAATTTCAACCAAATGTCCAAATTTCATTTTGTGAAATTTTGAAAAACAAATAGAACCTAAGTACAGGCAGAGAGCTTTCATCTGAATGGTCCCATCATTGGATTTCATCCGCAGACTCAAAAGTTAGAGTCATCTCACAAAACTCTATCAAGCACTCTGGCAGCGAAAGGGTTAATTCTTCTTATCAGTTAGTAAAGCTGGTTAGTAAGAGGAGCTTAGGTCATAAGCCGAGAAAGGCTTTCTGCTCAAACTGCGCTACAGTAGTGATGAATGAAATGTTATCAATCAATGATCAAGTCTCATTTCCCTAGAGCACAAAACGATCAATAAATGGACATAGAAATAATACATATTCTGACATTTGTTCTACCAGCTAGTGCATCTGATGTACTTTCATTTAATGTACCGAATTCATGAATTTATCAACCCGTTTTTATAATCCCGGTTTGAAATCGTCACACCTTTTCTCGTGCTGTGGCTGCCACTCGGAGCCAACATTTCCCCGCTCTTTTCAATATACTTACAAGGCCTATCCTCAATCGAAGTTCAAAAAGAACAGAAATAGTAACAAATTAATCGGGTACATTGAACCAACTGTACTATCCGCCATCTTAACCGGGAGGCTCGTTGGAGACTGGGCACTCGGAAGATTTCAAACGCCACCCTACCCACCCTACCCTGCTATTACATAAGTCGGGCAAGAGGAATCAAAGGAGACTCTGTTCGCAGGGTAACGCCACCCGAAACTTCCCGTTTATTTCCCCTTTAGTTATGCAAAAAAAGATTCATCGGGGCACACGGAGGCTCCGAGGGGTTTTCAAAACGCTTTAATTCCATCGGGGATTTTCACTCTTTTGCAATCCTTTATAAAGGAGGATGTGTTCAAATTTTGATTTTGGATTTGCAGGGCATAAATCTATTTGTTTATTCATTTATTTCTTAATTTATTTCTTAATTAATTAATCTATTTATTAATTTATTTATTTATATCAGTTTATTACATGAGGCTGCTGTAGAATTCTCCTCGCTGCCTGCACGATATACAGTCGACTCCCGATTAAACTCATAACTCGAACCCTCGATAACTCGAACCTCGCTCTAGCTCTCGAGCCAAAATCGATTTTCCCTGGATTTAGTTCAGACACGGATCCCACCAGTTTCCACCGTTTCAAAGAAATCGGTAAGGTTTTTCATGATAAATATATTTTTAGTAAAAAAAACTTTAAAATTTCCAAGTTGAAATCTTGAAAATGGTTTGAACAGTCAGTAAATCACCTGTCTGCATGACTCAGACACCCAGGAAAGGGGACTTTGGGGAATTAAAATCCAAAAAAATTGACGGGGAGCATGCCCCCAGACCAGACCCAGGGGCCCCACTCACATATTTTAATGACGGGGGGTTCCAACAGAGGTTCATATTTTATACCCAAAAAAATCCCAACTTCAGAATTTGTCTACCCACAAAAATCCCTACTTTTTTTAGCATACCCAAAAAAATCCCTCAGTGTTTTTGCATCAGCAAATTTTATTATTTATCTTCTGAAATAACTGAGTCAGCGACACATCTTTGTATGGGTTCATGATCCACTTTGGCAAGCTTGAATATGTTACTAATATTTTCAAGAGAACTTCTTCATACAACAAAAATGGGATCACAACTGACTGGACCTCTTAGCTCTTGCTGGAACTCAACAGCATTGACTCCCGGTTTGAGTTTAGTTTACAAAATCAGTTTTCCTTGCCTTTATTTTTACATAGCAACGTGATCATTTCATAATAGATATATATCAGCGGGTAAACATCTAATTCATAAAATGTTTACTTTGTATACAGTGTTTCCATTGTGGTCTTGATGACTGGCTTGAAAGGCCTTGAATTACTCTGGATTAGATGCGTGTGGAGTGCCGGTAATTACTTTTCAAATAGATTACAATCTCAGAAATATCCCGTAATACCACACAAGCAGTAAATTGCGCTTATGTTATTGTTGATTTGAGCTGATGAAAAATACAATACCCAAAAAAACTCCCTGTGTTGTTTTCGCGACCCAAAAAAATCCCGGCGTCTTTCATAGACCCAAAAAAATCCCTTTTGGCCAAAATGTCAGACCCAAAAAAATCCTTCGGAACCCCCCGTCATTAAAATATGTGAGTGGGGCCCCTGGCCTAAAAGTAGGAAATCGGTGATCCGCGCCAGTAGTTTATACATCTAATGTAATTTTACCCTCGGTAAATCGAACCCTCGATAATTCCGAACCTCTCGCAGTAATTTTTATTCCCCTGAGACGAATTTTACCCTCGATAACTGAAAACATGTTTTAAGCGCATGACAGGTCGATCGAAAAAGAAGAAATTTAATACTTCAAAACAACTGTGTCGTCTTGGTCTTTAGTCCTTTACTATTTGGTTATCAGCCCAGTTCAACTAGTCAACTCGACCTTCAGTTTGGATTTCTCTTGAAGGTTCGAGTTATTGGGTGGTCGACTGTAATGCGAGTTTTTATTTTTGTAGCGTATTAGGATCGATTTTTGGCACGCTTACGGTAAATACTGGGCATGTAAATACTATGTGCCAAGACCTCGTTGTCAAGTAAGTTGATATATTTTAATACCTTCAGATAAGCGGAGCTGTCAGATTCAACATAAACCTCTGCATAACACGAGATCTTCAATCCTGCCAACTGCTGTTCTGTTTCCGGGAAACCACTGGTCACACAAGCCTCATAACAATACGTGTAGGTGTTTTGCGGTTTGTAACCTAAGAAAAAAGCACCAAAAATGATCGATACTTTTTATCAGTCTAATTGCTATGAGCTTATGGGTGCAAGACCTTAATCAGGATGGGATGGGAAGATCTACGACAAAACTCCGATTGCAAGGTTTCTTAGCTGCACGTGTACACCTTCCAACTTGTAGAAAGTACTGGTCGCTTGATTCCACACTACTGGAGAAAACCAGGAGAAAACTTTGGTACAGTATAAAAGTGGAGCCCAGATTCCCAGGGGGGTACTCTCCAGAAAATTTCCAGAACACCCCTTAAAAGGTACCAGAATCTTGTTTTATGGGCGTGTCCTGAATTCATTTCCAGTCCGAAGAGGTACCAATTCAACAACAACAAATTATATAACGGGCACTGCAAAATTTAATAGTAATAAAGAAACTTTCTTCTCAAGGACTTTTTGAAAGTAATAGGTACCTCGAAAACTCTGGCAGCAGTCATTTTCGGTTTTAGCACCTTAAACGGTACCAAACCACAAATTTAAACTCATAAAAGGTACCACGAGCATCCCCGTTACTTCTACAAGGGAGTATCCAGGCCCAGTTGCCATTCGCTACTTGGTAGAGCACGAGGGGAAAACGGGGCAGTTCATGGGGGCACCGCAATGATTCGATTGAGAGCCCGGGGCGCTTATTTAATTTTGGTACCTCATGGGAGAGCCCTTATTACAAGAGTTAAGTTTTGTTTTCTTATGTTGAACAAATTAAGGTTTTTATAGATTAAAACCTTCAGTAATGAAAAAAAGAAGCAAAGCAGGAATTAATTATGTTTACTTTTCTAAGATTTCACTTACTTTTGCTGTTAATCTAGGAAGTGCAAAGTTTTCTTAATATGCTATCCAAACAGATTTAGAGCTCTAAGAGTTTTATCCTTCCACTTGTGTTCACTTCTTTGCACGGCTGTTTTCTCGGGCTATAAATCATTTAAAGTCCGCAAACGATCTGTCTCAAACCATTGATAATTCATAAAAAAAATTACAAAGGAATTGACGACGATGAATAACAATTTAACCTTGAACATGACAAGATGAAGTACGTCGAGTGAATTGAAAATTGTTACGTAATCAAAGCGCGTCGTTTAGAAACGCACATTTTTATCTTCCTTATATTATAACCTAAAATGACGCTTCAGTTTATTTTGGGATAACCCACCCTTAAAGAAAAACTTTGAAGGAACCGCCCCTGAAGTACTTACGTAATTGCAAAACGAAAGAACTGTTGGCATAAGTTGGATTGTCATTAACAACCAATGTACTCCTAACAGAAAGCACATATGAAACAGCGATAACATTCAGGGTATCGCTTCTTTCCGATAGAATCATCTCAATTCACCATTTGCATCTTGCCTTGTCGGTCAGGAGTTGGAGTTAATCATGTTTACAAAATTGCTTTTCTACTTAAATAGAGGGGAGAGGAAATTTGGGTGAAGGAAGAATATTGGGCCAAAAATGCCTGCTCCATTCAATTGTCAATTGTCGGCACCCAAGAAAACATTGAAGACACTTGGTGTAGTAACTATACTGACATTGTTTTCTTTTTATTTCTCTTTGATGATTTCGACCTGAGTTATATATATGGGAGAGGCTAGATTAAAAAGTAGGAAGAAAAGAGAGTTACCCCTTGTTTCGTTCCTCCACAAAACAGCTGACTGTTTGATTTACAGCATACTGTTTTTTCATACTCTCAGATATTCTTTAATACCACCAGTGTCCGAATCGAGGAAAATTGTCACCTATATCATTTAAAAATGCTTTCTTACCTTTGGGGTTGAGGTCTGGCGAATCCTTCGGCTTTGAAATAATATCACCTGTGTTTTTTCAAAAGATTAATATTGTAGCAATAACCTTGTTTAAAAGCTGCCATGTTCATATCTTTACAAGAATCTAACGTCAAGCAAAACGTTTACACTTTAAAATGACGTAACAGTATGGACTTGAAAATACTTGATTTCAGTTGATGCCACAGAACTACTGTCAGAGTGCTCAATAGAAGGAGTAGAGCGAAAATAACCAGAAGTGCAATATTTTATCAACTGAAAATTTGTCCGGCTACATATTTACTAACATAAATTTTCGTACTAGAAACTACATAGTAATAAAACGCCCAGCCAAATCTTCAGTTGACAAAACATTGTATTTCTGGCTAGCGTTCTGTATCTCTTGACTGTGATTTTTCTTTTTCCGACCAAGTTTTAACCATTTCGTGCAAAGTAAACTACGTGACCTTTTTGTAACTAACATAAGGTTTATCGTTTTTGAGCCTCCATCAGCTTGAAATGTCAAAACATTGACGCACGAAGGGTTCCAGAAAAGAAAGTTCTAACATATAACCACATTAAGAGAAAATATCAGTGTAATTTACCTTGAAAAGCTGCAAGAGAAACTCCAGCGAAAAACAAAAGAGCACACGCCTTCATCATGTTAGTCGCTGGCTATCCTCTGAATAAGCACTTTACGGGATGTACGCCAGGTTTATAAAGGACAAGTCTTAAGATATTAATTTGATGAAATTCTATCTGGTATTCACCTCACAATCAATTAAAGCTACTCAGCACAATACGGACTTTGCTCCAAAGAATACAACAGATCAAATTAAAAAAAAAAATTGAAACAAAATTGACTTTATCTTTAATGCTCGCGTGTGATCAAGGTCTTATTACATAACGGGACTTTGTTTTCATGCGATAAGCATATTCTAAAAGGCGTTTTCTATACTTGGTTTGTATTACATATCGTTTTTCGTTTTGAGGCCATTTACGTCACCTTTTTTATCATTTTGTTCTTTTTATCGCCAGGGCACAAGGCACTGCATTAATTATAATTCAGTTAGCGTTAATGCTCAGTAACCTAGAATGCTTAGCGAAAGCTCACAATACAAAGAAAAAATATCATACTCTCAAGATAATCAGGGCAAGACTTTATAAAGCACGATACATTTATCCTTCTTCTTTGAATGTAGCCTTTTGCCCTTAAAAAAATAATTGCAGTATCATGAACAGGAAAGTGTTGTATTTCTTCGAGAGCTGATAAACTTCTACATTCGATACTTGTTCGATAAGGTTCCAGTGACTTTGATCTTTGAATAAACACGCATTAATCAGAGTCCAAAGGTTTCCAGTCATGATTTCTTTGTTCCTGTCGTATCCGGTATTACCCTACCCGGAAGTAATAGTTAGAGATTTCATGGTAGGCCTCATATAGTCATCTCATATAGTCTCTTTTGCAGTATTCTCCCTATTGTCAGTTGGTCCACCTGATTTCCTATGTATACCCCAGTAATGTATACACTGTATACCCCTGTATACCGGTATCCTGTTTATAATAACATATTATAACATATAAGGTTAGTATAAATATGATGTCAACACAATTATCTATCCCAACCATGCATCTCTAATACTGTCAATAGAATACGAAGACGTGGCTCTATTTACAATGCAAAAGGCCCAAATTAACAATGCAATCGCCTACGAGAGTTCCACAAAACTGCGGACACAAATGCACTGAATGGAAAGGTTCAAATAATATCAAACTTGATATTGACCTAAGAGTAATCGGCATCAAATTTCTCCTTGTAGTGATGCTTTACAACACATCGGTTATAAGAATAAAGCAATTGATACCTCAACAAATTCCCCCCACTATTTCTATAGGAAACGTACAGGGACAACAAATAGGAAGGCTGAATTTTGATAATGCTAAAACGTTTGTGAGAAAAGTTTTTAACTTTCTGAAAACTAAAGCTGAATCCGGCCTAGATATATTTCAACTTACATTTTAATTATTAGATAACTGTAATGTACATTTGTACATCTACAGTCTATATATGAATTGTTATACTGTAGTTAATTGTTGTACTTAGCAGCTGTGATTATGTCACAGGTGACCCTGGCTCGGCGGCTCCGTGATAGTGCCACAGTACGGTTACAGTAAAATTACGGTGTTTGCATGGGGTAAAAAAAAACGATCCTAAAATTTGAAGGAAATACTGAATAAAAGTCAATGAAACTCACCTTGCAGTTAGTTGTTGTTGTCCTTAAAGCTAAAACGAAGTTGCATATGTGCAATGTGCTAAAGTGAACAATCAATAGTCCTCGAGCAAATTTGTTTCCAGCGGGGGAGGCTTAGTTTGGATACCCGGGGAAACCGGGGTGGATTTGATTTGTACAGTGCCCAGGCCTCATTTGCTTGACCGCCGGTAGATCTGGCCGGCCACTTCGGCGCAAGAAGTTTCGGCAATTTTTGGATTATATCCTTCAAGTCTAGCAAAGTCTACTGGATTCGTTTCTCTAGCTGGGAAAGCTTCATTGGTTTTCACATCTGGGGCTGTCCTCTTTCTACAAGCCTAGCGTGTTTATTTACCGTTGGAGTTCGAATTCCATGGAAAAAGTTGTGTTGGAAAGGGAGCGATGGCGACTGAGGCTTCATCTCGTGCCTCCTACCTTGGAGCCGGGTTCCACTTTATAAAAAGAGAATTGAGATTCAAGGATGTTTAAGGAAAACAATAAATAAATGTAGATATAAATCTCAAATTTATGGGGTAAATTTCTTAGGCCGCCGAAGCTCTTTACTTAGGAACTCGTAAGCGACCAGCTCTACAAACAGGAAATACTCTGGACACCGTTGAATAAGCAGCCGGGCGCTTAGTAATTCTAGACAATACGATATATATTTATTTGTTGTTTATTTAAGGATAAATTTGCTTTTGTTATAAAGGAAGAATTTCATACATTTAAAGGACTCTGTACAGACAGAAGTTGGCAATACAAAGAAACTTCACTGATTTGCGCGACACATTACCAATAACACATCCTTTAATAAGTCAGCTAACGTCAGACAAATTTTCGAAGATGTTGTTACCCCGAGCTTTAAGAAGATTTGCCAGAACATTCTAAACTGGAATATTTGTCTGCGTGGCCTGCCGGGACCTCCAGGTATAAAGACGGAATCAAAGGTGACAAAGGCGATTTAGGGAAGAGGGGTAGAAAAGGGCCACAAGGAGTCATGAGACAGCCTGGAAGAAGTGGAAAACACGAAATTATGGGGCCGCCAGGAATGGGGGGTGAAAAGGAGTTAAAGGTGATATTAATGCACCTCATGTTCCAGGGATGAAAGGTGAACTAGGAGAATCCGTTTCTGCTCCAAACGTGAGAGTTTCTCCTTCTCACCTAACAGTGAACCAGGGTAACACTGCCGTTTTACTTTTTTCTGTGTCTGGTAATCCCGTTCCCCAAGTTACTTGATCCCGCGTCAAAGGAGTGGTACTTAACCTAAAGTAAGGTGTCATCAGAAGGTTTCAGGCGACAAATTAATGCAGTGAGACCTGATGACGCTGGTGAATACAAGTGCGCATGTGTGGCGCGTAATATCCTCCCAAGGGCAGAAACGGTTGGGCGTATTTTTGTACGAAGTAAGTTAATCACCTACACGCTTTGGTAAGTTTTAGATGGCTTTTCCAAATTTTGCCACATCTCATTGAAAGCTCCCTGGCGAGTTGTGGCCTAAAGATGGGGCACCAAAAGTATCTCAAGCTCTATGAGTCTATTGACCTTTGGAACTTAATCCCTGATCATCGTTATGACATAAATATAAGGATTTGTATGGGACAAATATGCACCTCTCATGGGAAAAGAAAAAATTTTACCATCATTCATTTTCAATAAATATCTCTGCTTTAGTCCTTTGTTTGTCTTTTCGTGTTTTCTATCGGTTTTGGATCTATTTGGGGCCATTTCATGAGGTTTCATTTTCAACGGTTGTTACATATTGGTATTGAAACCTTTTTCCACCTTTTTTCCCATACAAATCCTTACGATCCTCATGTTATTGCGAAATGTCTTCGCAACACTCAGGGATTACATTACAAAGGTCTGAATAGACTCATAGAGCTTGGGCTACCTGTGGTGGCACTTAACGAAGATTCAACTTCGACTCAACTGTTCTCCAAGTAGTCGTAAGTGAAAAAATAGTTAAAGAAGTCCTGAGAGAAAGAGGATTTCTCCTATCTTTACCATTTGAAAAAGTGACGGAATTTGTGCGGAGCGCATTTTTCTTAGTTTGAGCGCTAAGTTTGTCTCGGGCGCTTCAGATTAGAATATGATTACACTTGTTCAAGGTAATATCAAATTTGGTAATTGCTTTATTGGCAATTCAGCCAGAAACCTGACATAACATTCGCATCCCAGAACTTTGCTTTTTACTTACTCCGCTTCCACTTTTTCATACCAGTGTCTGCTTGTTATGATGTTTTCAATTCTTTCAAATGCCCCAGGTCGACCTAAGATCAGTCTGTAAGATCTCTCTATGGTTTGGATCACATAACATAGAGAGAGCAAACAGTATCACTTTACCGGTATGTCACGTGGAGGGCTTCCCTTTACCAAGCATCACTTGGACTAAACTGCAAGCTGACATTATGCCAGCCAAAGCGGTTGTCAAAGGTAAACAACTAAAAAATAATAAATACCAAGACGAAAGATTCGGGTTTGTAGTACAAATGTCAAGCCTCAAACAGCTTAGGAAATGACGAAGGTGTCACACTGCCTTGTCTACCTACGTCCTTAACCAGTATGGAGAAATAGATTTCATGATAACCAAAAACTGAAGAATTTTGGGAATTTTACTCAGAGAATGTCATCGCAAAAATCTGTGGCTGCGTCGAGCATAGCAGACCAAAAATGGGAGGAAAGGGTGGGAAGAACATGTTGTATATTAGTAAGTTATATTAGTGAGTTTTTATCGCGCGTTAGACAAGATATTAAACTGATATGCCTATAAGATCAACAGCAAGCATTCCAGTGCAGCTATCGACCACGCAATTATGAAAATGTTCCACTCTGAGTGTTCCTAACAGTTACCGTTATATTGGATATTACAGGTTATGAGGCAAAGGTTTAGGCTCTCCCTATCGAAGGTTAACTCAAATTATAAGAGAAGGCCCTCCATTTTTGATGGCGTGAAAATTTTTATTCAACTCGTGTTAAACATAGGCACGTTAAAACTATACACACTCTTTCAGTCGCCGACAAGACGTTCCAGTTCTTAGGATAACTTTTAGTGAGTTTCCAAGTTAACTCTTGTATTGTCTTTTATTTCAGTTTATGCTTTTTAAACTTAGTTCTAAATTCTTTTAGGATTTTTCAAATAGAATTGTTGTTTATTTATTGATAACTTTATTGTCAAAATAATAAGACAAAAGGATGTCGTCACCCGAGAGGAACTAAATCCCCATAATAAGGCAACCCCCAGTTCTTCGGTAACTGTAACCCGGTGGCCAGTGCTTTATTCAGCGGTATTCTTTCTTCCTTTTTAGTCTAATGTTGTTTCTATTCTGGGAATAAAAGCCTTTTAAACCTGATAAGCTGTATACTTTGGCATTTTTTTTAAAGATAGGTTGTAACCATTCTATTTTGTAGACTTTGCGAAACAACAACATGACACTTTGGATTCTTACCCTTTCCGTAATTTTCACAGTGACAGTCTTGCTTTGCCATACTGATCATGATGAGTTCTACTGTCTACTGCTGCTACCATGCTATGGTGAAACAAATATTGATGTTTACAGGGCTTTAATCAGTATCAGTCTTTGCGTTTCATTGTTACAAACAACCCGAAAGTTCCTAAGAATGGAAAATATCTGGAAAATATAGTTATAAATTTTAACACATGCCGCACTAAATTATCCCTGGAAGACACTTAAGGCAACCTTGTCTCTTTCAAACGTGCTGATTCTTTCTGTGATCCACGGAGTGAGTACCGTCAAATTAGAATAGACGCCATATTTGTACGGTAAAGCGCACTGATCACCCCAACAAACCAGCCCAGCTGCGTAATAGCGCCCGCATTTCGAACAAACCAGCGGACCTCCGCTGTCGTAGTCACAAGCGTCTGTTCCTCCCTCGGGATATCCCGCACACATAGCAGTGTTGTGAATGGTCCCGTTGTAGGATTTTTCCTGGTTACAAACGTCACGTGATACGATTCTTACTTTAGCCTCGCGTAAAATGTCCGGTTGGGTACCATTCCACTCAGTATGACCCCAGCCTGCCACATAACATTCCTCATTTGGCGCGAAGACATCATGAGGTCGAGGCAAGCACAGTGGTTGCACGTAAGTGTTGAATACAAGTGCTTTGTCGAGCTTCATAATTGCTGAAATTCAATGCAACGCAAATCAGATTTACTTTCCAAGTCTAATTCATTTGTCAACCAAACAGTAACTAAATGGGTACCTTAAGGCCAAAATAGTGTCGCCGCACTGATTTATTTATTTATTATTTTTAGTATATTTAGTTATTCAATTATTTATTCATTCATTTACTTAATTACTTAGTGTTAACACAGGCGTGTTTTGATGAGTGATTATGCTGTACTATGCTCCTAAAAGTTGCGTGGTTAACTTAAGTTTTTTATTGTATTTGCATTGTTAACAGTCCAGAAACAAGGCACGAACAAACAACATTTATGTCGCCGCTCTTACTACAATTTTCATATTCTGCAATTTGTGACAATTCAAAGTCACTTATGTCCAGGTTTGCACGCAGCAGCAAAAATTGCGATTTTTCGTGTGTTGCGAAAAATCGCAAGTCTGACGATTTTCAGCGTTACTCGTGATTTTTCGCAGTTCTTTGTCATGTTAATAAACACTAAACCAGACCGAGTTGCGGATTTAACAAAATTTGCGAAAATTGCAAAAAATCGCCAGTCTGACGATTTTTCGCGTTACTTGTAATTTCTCGCAGTTCTTTGTCATGTTAAAGATCACTTTTTTTCGTGTTCAAGATCACTTAAGTGTAGTTTATAGCTTAAAGAACGAGGAACATTACATTTGAAGCCCGCCAAATGACTCGAAAATAGGGGGCTGAGTAACCGGGTCGAATTCGAAATGACCGGTTACCAAGATAGATAGATAGATAGATATAGATAGATAGATAAGATAGATAGATAATCTTTATTTATTCACGGTACAAAATTCGTCAGCTTTAAAAATGCCTAATACTAATATAATAAAAATATTTAAATAAAAAAGCTGCTTTCCACGAATGCCGTGCCTTACAGTTCTTTGAGTAATCGTTTAAATTGCCCAAGGGACTCTGCTTCCCTTAAGTTACAAGGAAGACTGTTCCAGAGAATGGCGCCACTATAGCTGAAGCTGTTTTTGTAATAGTTTGTGCGCGGTAATGGAATATTGAGTTTATTTTCAGAGTCCCTTAGGTTATATGCGACTTCTCGCCTTTCAAATTTAGAACTAAGATAGTTTGGAGCCAACCCGTGCAGAGACCTGTAAACCATCGTAGCTCTTTGAAATTGTTGCTGGCAAGCTAGGTTTTTCCACCCTAGAAGTTTGAAAAGGTGACCAGCATCTACGTCATAGCTTGAGTAGGTCAAAACACGGGCTGCTCTGTTTTGTAGCTTTTGAACCTTATTCCGTAAGGTTATCCCACAGTTTCCCCAAACAATGTTGCAATAATCAAAGTGTGGCTGTATTAAAGCTTGATATATTAGTTGTAAGGTCGCCTGAGGGACAAGGTGCCTTATTCGTTTTATGGCCCCAATACCAGAAGCGACTTTCTTTGTTACTTTCTCGATATGGCCACTCCAATCAAGTCTGTCATCGATGGTCACTCCAAGTGATTTTGCAGTAGTGACCTGGCTAACTTCAAAATCATTAATTGCAAATGTCGGGGACTCTGTGAGAGTACTTAGCCTCTGCCTAGATCCGATAAGCATAAATTCGGTTTTAGTCATATTTAGAGTAAGTTTGTTTGCTCTCAGCCAATTGTGAACATTTTCTAAATCTTGATTTAGATGCAACTGAATATTGTCTGCATTATCACCTGCGTACGTAAGGTGGGTGTCATCAGCGTACATCCTCGGCTCACAGTTTGAAAGACAGTTTGGAAGATCGTTGATGTATAACAGAAATAATAATGGACCTAAAATCGTCCCTGGGGTACACCACAACTTAATAAACAGCTTTGAGAGAGCGATCCGTTGATGGAGCACATTTGAGTACGATTCTCTAAATACGACTTAAACCATTGGTGCGCGTTACCATATATGCCGTAATTGCTTAATTTTGATAAAAGGATCTCATGGTCAACTGTGTCGAAGGCCTTTTTGAGATCTAAGAAAACAACGGCGTTGATTTTACCGCGGTCAATATTGTACGCCCAAGTGTCCGTGGCCTCAAGGAGAGCCGTGACAGTTGAGTGAATAGCGCGAAAGCCTGATTGATATTTACAGATTATATTGTGCTCTTCTAGGTAGGCATATAATTGATCATAGACGATTCTTTCAAAGACCTTGGCCATAACTGAGATCACCGAAATTGGACGATAATTGTTTAAGTCGTCCCGATCGCCTTGTTTAAAAAGTGGGGTGACCTTTGCGCATTTCCAGTCATCCGGAAATATGCCTTGACTTATTGACTGGTTAAAAATATCACGGATAGGAATGCAAATGAGATCTGCACATTCCCGAATGAGCCTAGCAGATATCTTGTCAAGGCCAGCTGCCTTTGACTTGTTTAGACGATTCAAAAGTGAGAGAACTTTATTTGTACTGGTCGGATGGAGCTGAAACCGTTTATCTGTGCCAGTGAGGTACTTTTGATAACCATCACTATTTGAGGAATCAATATTGCTAGCAAGTTCTGGACCGATAGTAGCAAAGTGATTATTAAATTGGTTCGACAGCACAGTTGGATTTGGTATTGATACTCCATTTACTTTCAGAGAGAGACTATAAAGGGGACAGAGAGGGCATCCCCCATATACACCCTATTCCATAGGTAATTCGTCTCGAGTTATTTTTAACACCACAGATCTCAAGGGGGATTAGACAACTGCCAATCACATAGCACGAATGTGTTCCGCGTGGATGACCCACGCTGAGAGCCACGCGTCCTTCACGAAATGACGCAGAACAAAATGGGGGAAGACGCGGAGAGCGATTTTGCTATTCCTTTTGTCGACGAAAACGACTACAGCGAGATTTCTGCGTAAGCTGTGAACGAAACCGAAATTAAAAAAGAATATTAACAGTCTTAACACACTGAATATTCTCTGAGGATCATTTATAATTTACAGTTTGAAGAGAGCAATTTCTGGTTTGATGTTTATTTTTTTCAGTCTTTATAGCGATTATTCCTACCCACTTACTTTGTCAATTGTAGGCGAACCCTCTTAAAGCTGAATTTCAAGGGACCATATTCAAGCTCAGAAAGAGAAATAAAATTTCGTCGTTGCTTATTTACGTCGTCCATAAAACGCGATATTAGGCATTTTCAAGTCGTATTCGTGCAAAAACGGGAAAGAAATGAACAAAAAAGTGTGTTGCACATGCGAAGTCGTTGTTTTGCTAATTAAACCTATTGTTTTTTTGACGTTCTAGTTGTCGTCCGCGTCGTTGGATCTTAAACTCCCTAAATTGTACAAACGACCGGTTTCAATAGACGGGCGAAATTTCTCATTTTATTAAAGCACTGAGGTTACGACAACTTCGAGTTACACTGATTCCACGGGTTGTCAAAGAGTCCAGCGATTCCTTTTTCCTAGGTGAGCGCCGACTCATTTCGCTTCAATATTCAGGAATGCTCTCGATCTTTTTACGCTTTCATTGCCTCTCGCCCGACATGTTTTGCACAGCGTTTGATAATGCGAAACCTCCACGAAACATCCTCGCCTCGTGCGAGGTAACTTTATCCCGATTCTAAAAATAACTCGAGACGAATTACCTATGGAATAGGGTGTATATGGGGGATGCCCTCTCTGTCCCCTTTATAGTCTCTTGCCGGTTACCTACTATACGTGCCGCCTCGTTATTTAATCCACAAATTTCATCGCAGAAATCACAGTTTTTGCTGGGCAACCTTCTTCCTCCTTTACCACTTGAATTTAGTAATTTTAGCAAAAACTGTGATTTCTTCAGTTTTTCGCAATTTTTGTTGCTGCGTGCAAACTTGTGGTGGCGCCTTTAACGCCTTAACTCCTCATAACACCGACTTTGGGGACTCAGAAAAGATATCGACATGTTTTTCTTGAGAGATACGTGTCTAAAAGCATAATCAGCTAAATTTATTCAGTCCATTTAAACTGGTCCTATATTAACCTATATTAAAACAGTTAATACTATTACTATATCTTCATAATTATTTTCCATTATTCAAAATAAGCGCTTACAAGCCTTGAACACCCAACAAGCCTTGAACAAGCCTTTTTGCTGTTATAGAGTGTTTTCACATGACTTCACGGCGGCCATATTGGTGTCCCAAAACAATAAAACGGCGGCCATGTTGGTGTCCCAAACCAGTCCTGTGGGAGTTGAACTCTTTTCTTATGCAAACGCTTTCTTTTGTTCCAATAAATTTGCATAGATGCTGGCCACGTTAGTGAAAACACTCCATAGTCAACCCCCGCTTCACGGACACCCGCTTAATATGGGCACCTCATTAATATTGACAGTTTACTTTGTCCCTGGGGAAAGAAAGCCCTTACATTTTTTCTAAATTCACCTCGCTTAATACGGACATCCCGTTAATACGGACACTTTCTGTGTACCCCTCAGTGTCCGTATTAACGAGGTTTGACTCTACTCAATTTCCTTGTAGTGAATTTTAAAAGGGATCAAGAGTGTTTTATTCACGAATCGTGCGGAAACGTTACTTGCTTTGAATGACGAAAGAAATACCCTGGAAACGAGGTTCGTGTTTAAGTATGCACTTACCAACGTCATTCAGTGGTGGTGTGTCGTAGATCTTTTCATACCACATGGATCTGTACCCCTCGTGTATCGTTATGTTCAAAATATTTCGTCTTTGCTCAAAGCGCTCATCTCTTTCTTTAAGACTATGATCTCCAAGAACTGCGGTCCAGTCTTCCGGCTTAGAAGACGTGTGCGGATCTAACGGAGGTAATAAAAAGACTGGGTCTGGAGATATATCTTCTGAACAGGAGTGAACAATGAGCTTAATCTTCAAAAAGAAGTTTAACCTATCGCCAAGAGATGAGCTTGGGAACTGCTAGATGCTAAAATATTCTACTTTATAGAAGAAATGCTATTTTCTATTGTGCTTTGTCTAAGCAGAAAAACTTACTAAAACAATGTGCGGCTGTCAATATCCATGTGTTAGAGATGACTGCGCCGCCGCAGTAGTGATGACCTTTAAAATATATCGCTACTTGCCACGGCCACTTTCCCTGAGAACTCTGGGAACCGCCCACAATCCTTTTCACCCTTCCTCTTTCCGTCTTTCGTATCATTCTGATTCCACATTCCTGAGGAAAGACTTTATAGTTTGTCCGGTTAGTGTTAGGATTTGACCAGGATCATGCTATTCACGTACTGATACATACATCCCAAATCATAAAAATACATACAGTAAAACATCCTAAAACGTGAAACTTTTTGTTTTGCAGCTAAAACTGCGGAAAAAGTTGACAACTTTTGCCGCGGTTTTGCGTTTTACGAATATAAAGAATCGAAGATGGATAGTGTTAGCATTACTTTTTTTTTAAAGAAAGTTAGACTACTCGTTCTCGTTTTCTAAGATTCAAATAGTCAACTCAGCGCTACACGCGCCTCTTGGACAATTGCCTCACAGAAAAGCCTCAATCAGAATTATTCTAATTGTTAAGTCGGCGGTATATGAGGTGTTCGTAGTTTACTGTTTCGCCGTGTTTCGCTACTTCTTCAACTGTAATTTAGAGGCAGTAGAAAGAAACAGCTGAGTCAATGAAAAAGTTAGTTTTATTTGATAAGGGACGTATACTTTTACAAAGTTCCCTCCACAAGTTTTGACTCTCACGTATGGATACAAAAAGTTAAGGGATTATTAAGGATGCTGTTAACTTACTAGAATCCATTAAGGATGACAAGGATGAAACGCTTGCTGTGCAAAAAAAAAAAATGAAATGATAATTAGCGTTATAGCTGACCGTAAAATTGTCAGTCAATAAACATTGGTATTTTACGAGAAACTCTTAAAAGTAGGAGCTACCTTTGGAACTTTGTGACTTGGATACAGCTGTAAAACAAGAATAATAAAAGATTAAGCACCTTTTATACAAAATCCTGACTTTTACAAATAATTAGCAAAATGTTCATTTTATCCATCTATGGCCCCATCTTAGCGCGGATGGTCTAGTTTTAATCACTTGAACTACAAACAAAAAAATTGGGGGACCGACTTCTTTTTGTTTTAAGTGAATGTGACAAGTTACTCAGTTCAACTGAATCTGTCGATAACAAAGTAGCAGGATTAAAACTTACCGAACAACGGAATGAAACCCAGGACGATTAAAAGCCTCATTAGTAAAGGCATCTTAGTTTACGTCCTTTTTAGATCAGTCTTTCAGTACCCTGTCTGCTGAGAGAAAAAATACAACGTAAAGGGTCTGCATTTGGTGAAGGAAAGCTGAATTGACATAAAAAACCAATTCCTTAAATGGCCGTGAAGACTTCGCAAACTATGTCAGCTGTTATGAACTGTTCTTTAAGCAAATGTTACTTTTACCAGCAAATAAGATACTTTTTGTTGAACAAAGTATAGAGAGGAATAAGAATTCCTTAACCAGACGTTATATAATAATACTTGTTTCACCAGCCGTCTGTTTTTCTGAGAAAACGTGATAGAGTGAACTAGAAAGGGCACCAAAATTCCACTATTTGAAGAGGTCGCGACTTTGTTGCACCGTTGACACCCCTATTTGAACACTGGATATCTAACGTAAGAAATTGTTAAGTGTGCTAGGTATGGTTAACAAGTTTCGCCATATAAATGGACATATGTTCCATCTACAGAGAATTATTCTCTCTTGGTTCCATCTACTACTTGATCACATTGGCATGGTGTAGATCTTTGATCAGAGCGGTCGATAGAGATCGCAAAGAAGCCATTGTTTTTAATTTTTAACGGAGTTCTTTTGCTGCAGACCCCACCTTGAATCGTAAACTGTAACCTTGTCTTAAGATTCAATATACAACAGCAGTGTTTGATATGGGAAGGTTTTCGTTCTGATGGCGATTGAGAGAACAAATTCAAATGTTTGGGTAGAAGATAGACTGCAAAAATAGTCGGTTTTTCCATCAAAATCGGTTATACAAGGCCCATAGCCTGCGTAGCAAGCGTTCCCAGCGAGTTCATCACGAGAGCAAGAACAAAAACTAACACGATTGGAAACGCTTGCTAAGCAGGCTAAAGGCGCTCGAGTGAGTTTCTCAGGCTCGTCCAAGTCTCATACTCTGTTTTCGCCCCCCCCCCCCTCCACCCCCGCTCCAGGCCCCAGGCCTTTTTATCATGATTATTATTATGATGATGATGATGATGATTATTATCATACGGGTAATAATTGGGATACATAGTAACATACGGACGCATACGAGTGACATACGCCTGGTAACATACGGATACGTACGAATGCCGGCCTTTTTTATGTTTTAAACAACTTCCATTGTTAATTTTGAATGTAACATAAGTACAGATGCAAATATTCTTTTATAACAATTTTTAACAAGTTCTCCAAGTGTAACTCAATTTACCGACAGGTAGTGTGAAAGGTTTCTTGACTAACTCATGCGATCATGAACAGCCGGCTGAGCATTAGAACACGTTCATGATCACTTTCAATACTTTTCGCAAATGGTGTGGAGGAGGTCAGGTTTACATGGTTCGTGATCGAGCCTCAAAGCCAATTTACATTTTTTTTTTAAATCGCCAATGTACTTTGTAACTAGCCTGAATTTCATCTGATTGCTTCGAGTCGTTTTCTCCTCTCAGCAACTGAGGGAATAATAGCGACTCGAAGTAATTGGATGAAATTCAGGCTACGTGGCAACGTGATCCGAGATATGTACAGCAGCTATAAGGCGCAGGCGAGTTTCGTATTCCCGGGCAGCCTAGGACGAGCGCTTGGTTTTGCGCGAAAGCGAGGCTAATGCCTGTCATTTCACAGAAAAAAAGGAAATTTGAAACGTTGAAAGGTTTTGGAGGCCTCAAAACTTACTTACAGGTTTGAGAAATCATTGTTTCAAACAGCACAAGGAGAATTGGCTCGTCATCACTAAGAAATACGCAAAGCATAACCAGAAATTGACCGAAATGAAAAACGTACGCACACTTCACTCGACAAGAACTCGAACACAGAAGATATACAGAAGATATACTGAGCAGTTTAAACTCCACTTTACAGATATACACAAGAGTAAAATAGAATTCTAAGAAGTAAGATAATCAAAGGGAATAAAATAGTGTGATTTTAACAAACTTTACCCTGTTTAAGCTCGAAAAGTTTACTTCTTCTTTTGGGCTTCGTCGCTTTTTTCTTTCCTCTGTTAAGTACGATCAGCTCAGTCCCACAATTTTGTTGTTTGTAACAGATATCCCTTTGGCTTACTGGTAAAGTTTTAACTTTGAAATCTTACTATTTGTAAGATTTCTATCGTTTTCCAGTGCCTCAGCGGCAAATTACCTAAAACTACTGTTATTGTCAGTAAGGCGTGCAAGGAAGTGAAAATGGGGAATAGTTTACAATAATACAGGCCAGTCGTTGGCATGCATTGGTCTGCATTCTGTTTATTTCATTGGTGGCAAAGGAATTTCGAGAATGCGCATGAATATAGGCTACTGAAAGCCTCTTGTTTTCAAGAGATCCGGCACCAAATTAAAGGTTTTCTCTCGACCTGACGGGTCAGCATTGATTGTTTATATTACTTCCCCCCTCCTGCTATCATCCGGGAAGCGTACTGTGACTCGCCTCCAAACAAAGCCATCAAAAGCCTATTAATCAAACAACACGGCGGCTTATGTTATAAATTTGGACACAAAACTTTGATAAGCCTCTTCAAAAGTAAGTTATTGCTGGGAAATGCAAAATAAAGACACAGATGTTAGGTTTCGTGCAATTTCATTGTGCATCAGACGTGACGCAAAATCACCACATAACTAAAGACGTGCTGACAAAGGCATTGTATCGCCACAATTTATGACAAAGGCAATTGTGGATATAATTTGATAGTGTTATAAACTAATTACCTTACCGTATAGAAATTTACCCTAGCAAGAAGTTCAATTCAGCTTACAGATGATCATCGGCTCTAAGTTGGCGTAAACAGACAATTCTTTACAGCTGAGCCACAGGAGTTTACGTAATTCGTCTTTCAACATATCCCGGCAGCAAATATCGTACTACAAAAGGGCTATTGCAATAAATATCCGTGCCCCCCAGGTTGAGGACTTACCTTTTCTTCTTACCCCTGAAGATTGGCTAAAATTGCATTCACCCCTGAAGAATTCCATAAAATATCGGCTTACTCCTGAAGAATATGGGTCCTACCCCTGAAGAATATCGGCTTACCCCTAAAGAATTTCGTGAAAATGAAAGCTTCACCCCCAAAGATTTCCATATTTTCTTACTCTACCCCTAAAGAAATCCTCTATTTTGATAACTTATCCATGGAGAATTCCATGGTTCCTCAGCCGGGGGTGCGGTATCATAATGCAATAGGCCAAAAGACAGGAATCGGTTTAATTATCGATCAAAAAGGTACTGAAAACCATGTGAATAGAGGGCCGCAAATAAAAGGGAGATGAACCTGGACTGAGTATCAGCCCTTCCATAGCTAGGGGCCAAGGGAGAGGAGATATGAAAAGACTATTGCTTTGGATGAACTATAAATGTAAGCCCAGTAGACAATAGAGAGATTATCATTCGTGCGTGAACGCGAGAGATGCGCCATTTGATTTCAAAAATCTGTCGAAAAAAAATGTTGTTGTAGCCAAAGCTTGTAAAACTTTGCAGGAGAGGTATCAATACTGTGTATCAATTGTAACATAATGTACAATTTAATAATAACATATGAAGATCTTTAAGCACGCTAGCTTTTGGCAGATGTAAGCTAATTTTCTGTACAGATTGCAATAATTGTGATTTTTTTTTTCACCAATTGGCTTTTATCGATGGCATTTCCGTGAAATTTTAGCGCTGAGCTACGGGAGTCTGTCGACAAATCCCTGCAGCAAATATCGAAATACAAAGATACAGGAAGCAGTTTAATTAAGATCAATTAAAAGAACGTGAATAGAGGATGGCCGTAAATATAACCTGGAATGAGTATCACATACTTGTGTGAAAAGCCTATGTGACCACTAGATAATACAAAGACATGCGCAATGGGAAATGATTAGAAACAAAAATAGCGCACTCGACTTTCCTCGATCTAAATAATGAAACTTTGCAAAAGCTGTGATATTTTCAGTTTGTTAGTAACATTATTGAAGATCTTTTCAGGCTACACGTTGCTAGAGTAACATTCTATACTGATGGCCATTATCAGTGACCAAAATGGAGTGAGGCGCGTATTCTCCCGTTACCCACGGGGGTCTTTTCTAGACTATACTAAGGACACAAGGCTGGTGAAACGGAAGAAAAGGTACTTCCAACACAAAAACGTTGCCCTAGAAGTATCTTTTTCTTGCTGAAGACAATAGGATCACCATATTTTCAAAAATGAAGAAAAGAAATAATCCTTGCAGCTATGAACGTTGTTTTATTCAGTTGCATAAATAGAAGCGTAAAGAATAAGACTCCTACCGAACCAAATAGAATCTCGTTGAAAGGCCTGATGTTTTTCCATTCTTGTTTCGAAAAAAATCTTTAAATTGTATTCATGACTGCGACAATCACTTCCTCGTTAACTTCCACATTTTCACTCATTGTAAAATATGAGTTATTTCATCAAAGTAAACATTTAAAATAGCCTCATTCAGATCAACTTTATTTACAAGTTTACATACTACAAGTTTACACTAGCAGTGCAGGCAAAAATAGAACCAAGTTGGAAATGAAGAGGAGCGTCGCTGGACGGGAACACAAGCGGCTCACATAAGAGAGGTTTCATTCTTCTCTGTGGTGGTACACATGGGCTGCAGTATTCCGGATCAAGTAACCTGAAGTGATTTATCTCTTGCACCAGGACTTCACTTGGTTTCTAAGAGATGTTAAGTTCTACTCTTGTTACTGCAGTCTATGTCGCATATTCACCCGGGTTGATTCTCATCCATGTCTTCTTATCCTCTTGTTACACTTCAAGATATGCGTCTTCTTTATCCACGTCATGTTCACCGTCATAAAACTCTCCATCAAACCTGTACAATGGGAGATCAACGCAACGTAGTCACCACATTCATCAGGCATGTGCAGAGTGTGAGATCGTCACTCTTACATTTTTGCGCAACTTTTTAAAGTTGCAATAGGAGAGTAATAGTTGACGGTAAGTGCATTCATAACGATAAGTAAATAACAGTGGCAGTAAGTAAAGCGCTGACTGTCCTAGCCAGTTTAGGTAGGCAGGTAATAATAAACACTTGTGAAGGCAAACTCACAACGACAAACCAGTGAGGGTCGGGCGGATCTTTAAGGTGGCTCCGTCATTAATACAGGCGCATTTAGCTGTGACGAAGTTTTCGTCATAACGTTTTTGTTTTTAACGCGATGGCTGAGAAACTTTGCAAAGAACAACAGATATCATTCAGCAATAGTACGAAATATTCCGATTTCGTTGATTGTAAATATATTTTGCTAAATTAGCGCTTAAAAGGACCCTACTGTTTAAAGAAAATTGCGTCTAGTAAAAAAAACTGCTGATGTTTTTTACTGAAATTTCTGGTATCGGCTTCAATTGATATAATAAATATGCCGGAGGAATTTCAGAAAAATCGTTGGAGCAGAAGTCCGTAACTTAAGGTGATTCCCTGGTTTTGCACTGTGCATCTCTTACTGCGCATAACAAGATGGCCGCCGTAAAAAAGAGCATGTGAAGTAACATCATTAAAATGAAGTTGACTGAAGAGAAACGTTATTGGAATTTTTGCTTGCTGTTGTTTCTTGCCGAGGTGAGACTCAATGTGTTGGGAATGTGCATAACGTAAGCAGTACGCGTGTTGCTGAGTTCGACTTCCTCTCAGAGAACCTCGATAGTAGATGTTTAACTTGTGCTTACTCACTTTGATTTTCATTTAAACGCTTTCTTTATCACATTGTGTCCTAAATGTGATAACTCGATGTAAATTCTGTAAAAACGGATTTTTTAATACTTTCTTCCCCCTTTTACATACATTCTATTTTGACACTCGCCCCAGTCCTCTCTCAAAAATCGGAGAAAATGCATTTGGTGCGCACTTTCTGCAGCTCTACCGCAAAAACGAGTACGGTGACCCCCATTTTTTATTTCATGATTTTAATAAGGACAGTGCTCACTTTCGATGAGAAAAAAATTGGCACAAATCTATGTTCAGTTTTTTGGCAATTTTACTAAATTGTACGGATTGAGCTATCACGGGTCGAATAGCGCGTGTCCAATTTAATGCTACTTTGTAGCGTAAAGTAAAAACAAGGGCATTAAAAGGTATTTTTCTGGTACTTAAGTGGATAAACAATATATTAAAGTCTAATTCTGTGTGATACCACATGCATCATCGAAAAAAACTCTCCTTTTTGTCTAGTTTTGGGCTGCCCGCGGTCTTTGTAAAAGGTTCCTAAATAGCCGTATTTGTCAGAATTGTGACGTCAAAACGAGCACGGTGACCCCCACTTTTTATTACTTTTTTATCATCATCTTGACTTGTTACATCAGTGTACCAAGTTTCACCTACAATCTACGTTACGTTCTTTTACTAGGGAATCACCTTAAAGTCGCTCAGTATTTAACTGTGAAATTGTTTTGGAATCTCAAGAATAAATTACTATCAGCTAGAAGGAGACACCAGTTTGAATTTTCGGGACAAGTAAATTCAATGTTTGCTAATTCTTAAAACAAAAGCCCATTGCCTATCGTGCTATTCTTTAAAAGGTACCTTTTAGTTTTAGAAGCACTATAAATTTCTCCAAACCTTGCTGTGAAGTAGAATGACTTGTTTCTTGACATTTTTAAAATATCGTTTGGCAGTTTTGGCTCAAACTCCTGCTACATACATTTTGATGTATTGCAATGCATTTTCAACGACCTTTACTGGTGTTCGTTGCCTCCAACACAGGAAAAAGGTATTGAGATTGGACGCTACCCCGTACCAGAGCTCAGATAGAACTGTCCAGCACCTTTGTTTATGACTACAAAATGAGCACGAGTGGCAGTTCTGCAAAGAATTCGCACCTCACCCGGGGGGGACAAACGACAATTATGCCCATGCCTGTGAACCGAATTACATCACAGTGCAAAATTAAATTATCGCAAAAATACTGCCCGAGGATAAATTTACAACTCTGAAATTTTTGTCACTCCTTCCTTCAATGAATGGGTAGTTTTTTCTTGATTATTATGTTCTGCTCTGCAATACATGTTTATGCAAATCGGTTCGCAGACATGGGTATCATTGCCATTCGTCCCCCCTGGCTGAGGTGCGAATTCCTCGCAGAGCTGCCGCTCGTGCTCATTTTCTGGTCATAAACAAAGGTGCTGGACAGTTCTATCTGAGCTTCGATACAAGGTAGCTTACAATCCCAATACCTTTTTCCTGAATTAGAAGCAACGTACAGCAGGAAAAGCCGTTGAGGATGCATTGCTATACATCAAAATGTATGTAGCAGGAGTTTGAACCAAAACTGCCGAGGGATATTATAAAAATGTCAAGGAAGAAGTCATTCGACTTCACAGCAAGGTTTGGAGCAATTTATAGTGCTTCTAAAACTAAAAAGTACCTTTTAAAGAATAGCACGATAGGCAATCGGCTTTTGTTTTCAGAATTGGCAAACACTGAATGTACTTGTCCCGAAAATTCGAACTGGTGGCTCCTTCTACCTGATAGTAATTTATTTTTGAAATTCTAAAATAATTTTACAGCTGAATTTTGAGCGACTTTTAGTTACGGACTTCTACTCCAACGATTTTACTGACATTTCTTTGGCATATTTATTATATCAATAAAAGCCAATACAAGAAATTTCAGTGAAAAATATCAGCAAAATGTTTTGCTAGACGCGATTTTCTTTGAACAATAGGGTCCTTTTAAGCGCTAATTTCTCAAGAAATATTTACCATCAATGAAATCGGAATATTTCAGATTATTAGTGAATGACTTCTGTTGCTCTTTGCAAAGTTTCGCAGCCATCGCGTTAAAAACGAAAAAGTTATGACGGAAAATTTGTCACAGCTAAATGCTCTAGTATTAATTACGGAGCCAACTTAATAGACCTGGATCAGTAAAATCTTCGATACCAAATTTTAATATTAAAACAGTAAACTAATCCTTACGGCACGAAGAGTGATAGAAAAAATAAAGAGAGAAAACAAAAATAAAGTGGTGAACTATATTTCAAAAGAAAAATCAACGATAAAAAAGTAACACGACGTTTCGATGACTCCAATGCAACGGGGGATAGAAAAGAAAAATGAAACCCCGTTGAAGGTTTGTGCTGCAAATGTTTGTTTTCTTTCTTTATTTTCTCTATCACTGTTCCTGCCATAAGGATCAGTTTACTGTTTGAATTTTAAAATTAGGTAATAATAATCTTCACAGGGTTCGTTCCCTGGTATGTAGTCTAGGTAGGTACAGTAGGTAGGTAGATAAGTACCTACAGTAGGTAGGTGGGTAGGTAGGTACAGTAGGTGGGTAGGTACAGTAAGTAGGTCGATAAGCACGTACAGTAGGTAGGTGGGTAAGTAGCTACAGTAGGTAGGTAGCGGTAGCGGTAGGTAGGTACAGTAGGTGGGTAGGTAGGTACAGTAGGTGGGTAGGTGGGTACAGTAGGTGGGTAGGTAGGTACAGTAGGTGGGTAGGTAGGTACAGTAGGTGGGTAGGCAGGTATAGTAGGTGGGTAGGTAGGTACAGTAGGTGGGTAGGTAGGTACAGTAGGTGGGTAGGTAGGTACAGTAGGTGGGTAGGCAGGTACAGTAGGTGGGTAGGTAGGTACAGTAGGTGGGTAGGTAGGTAGGTAGGTAAGCAGCTGTGGGTGTTTATGTATAAGTTTCATAACGGACTTTTACCTTCTGGTGTTTTACCTCATTTTTCCCTCCCTTAGGTAAATACATGGTTATAAATTCAAAAATTGCACACAATCGCCCCTTATCTTTTACCCGAGCTATTTTTGCAAGAACTGACAACTTAAGCTTAGACAAAACTCAAAAATATGGTTTATAAACAACGTGGTTGGGTATAACATTAAGCACACCCAGAGCAAACGAAATTCAGCACAGGCTCCCTTCAATATCCTTTCGGTCCATTCTCCCCCCCCCTTCTATCTCCCACCCCCTTGATTTCTCTCCCTCCTTTACCCTTTCTTCTTGACCAACCTGATCTATACCTCCCCTCCCTTCGGCTCCTTTACAGACCTTGATTCATCATCGTGTCTGCCATCAGGATCTTCCTGATCTTCTAATGACTCCAGGCACATAAAATCCGGGGGGACCTCCTGCATTTGAACACTAGGGGCTCCTGTTACGCACTTGATGTTTTCAATCACAGTGTGTTTTATGTGCTCCAAGTACTAAACACCAAATAAAAAGAATATTTATACAACAATCGTGAATCTGTTACAAGGTCCTTCAAAAAGGACAACAGTTGAAAATACAGAAAATGAGAGTCTGGTTTAAGTTTGATAGCTTTCAGTGGAGTCCACATGCACCTCTGTATTTTGCTTTTTAAGGCTTAACCTTTACCTGACGTTAAAAAAGTAGCCTGTGTCAACCGCCCCCTTCCATCAAAAGAAAATTCCTCATTCCCCAATTTCGTTTGGGGGGAGAGGGCGGCCAGTAGCCTGCGTGGCAGGCGCCGGTTTATTTTTAGGGTGAAGGAAGTAATCTAGAGGACGCGCGTTCCTCGAGGAAAGGGGCGTGTCCCCCACGCGCGGCCTGTAAAAATATAAAATCGGCGCTTGCTACGCAGGCCAAGGGCGGCTGTACTCAGGCTCTGAAAGGAGAAGAGTAAGAAGTCCTGAATTAAACACCGCACCTGTTTGGTGTTTTGATTCTCTATCCTGGCTGCAATATCAGGATACAAAGAAAAGTCTGGAGCAAAGTACTCTAAGTAATCTGAAACAAAGGAAATACAGCAGAGGTTAGATTGTTAAACTGGATAATAAAACTCATTCAACGATAATTTTGACAATAAAAGGACACCTGAAAAGAGGGCCCATTTAAACATGACTGTAACTAACAAAATTGAGTAATGTTGAGCTGTGTTCTATGGAATTTCCAAACAAACCCGACACCGTCCTATATGTTACAATTTAAGCTGAAATAATTCCACGCTTTTTATTTGATCAAAACTAAGAAAAAAAAAGGGCCACTGCATGCTTCCCTAATGTTATTGCAAAAACTGTTCAAGTGTGGCCAAACTGTTGTGTTGTCTGCCGCTCCAAAATACACAATCCAACCAGGTGTTCAACTGGATCTAAACTCGTATAAGTAACAAGCCTTAAACACAAGGTTTTAGATGTCATTCTGTGATATAAAGTCATATGCATGTCCTTTAAAGCCATCAATAAGCAAAGCAATGGTCTCTGTGTATAATAAGTGAATAATTTTTGTTAGAAAAAAAACAGTTCGGTAATAACTTTTTCTTTCTTTTTTACACGAATACATAGTCATGCTTAAATAACAGTTAAAATTAATACTGAATACTACTATTAACAATAGCAACTGATTTCTTGCACATCACATAAAACTCTCAGTGCTCTAACGATATTATAAAATAATACGCTATGACTTCCAGAAAGAAAATAATATGTTTTTACCACAACTTAACGGAAAGTATCAGCGAAGACGACAAGCTGCTTCTCACTTTCCTCAAACAGTAATATAAATGGCTCAGTCAGTTACGGTCTTCTTGTTCCCAAATTAAAAGCTCCTATTATTTGACATTACATCACATCACATATCAATTTGCTTTTAAGTGGCTGAGAAAAACATCCACCCCATGAAGGTCTGCCACCACAGCAAGCCGGCTGGTGGCTTGTGCGAGTATGCACTGTTGTACAAAACAAAATATGTATTTCAAGTATTATTTTACCGTTGTAAGGTATTTCGTTGGAAATTTCTTGATCCACCAAAAGGGACGTCTCATATGCCCTGCAACAAAGGTCAAATAAAACACCTTTGTAAAGACCGTGAATTTGTAACTAGCTATGAATTTAATGGTATACATGTACATGTATATCAGAGAATTCACAAGAGACATAAACCACTAAATAAAAACACCTCTAAACAGTTGAAAACACTTGACCTTTGGCCTTGTGCTTTCAACTGTTTCTCAGTCTTTGGAACCCGGGATGAAGCATTAACCCTCATTTTCTACATAACTATTACTTCATTTCTGGAAGCATTCAGACAATTGAATCAAGGAATTCATCAAAATAGTAGTGTAGGCCCAAGGATATCCGAACTAAAACAAGGCATTAAGCATTAGGGCAACAAAATTTTATCTGTACTGCATATTACAAAAAAATGGTTAAAAGATCAGTCCAACTAAACTAAACCACATTTGACTAAATTAAGAACAGCACTGCTTGATTCAACAATACATTTAAAGTAGCATTTTATGCAGTTTTTTTTACCAGCATCTTGCAACATTTTTAATTGTGTATCCTCCTCCTCCAAGAACCAACAAAGGAAGATTGAATGTCTTGACATACTGCACACACTCACTGCCCAAAAAGAAGACAAATTTATCGAAAAATAGTAATTATAAATCAGCCAAAACGTTTTGATGTCACTATGATGTTATCACAG